GGATGGGTGGATGGGTATTTATCATTTGCTTAGTTTAGTTACCTATTAAGTAGATGATAATGTGGTAATGTAATTATGAGGATGATCTATAATTAGGTATCTATGAGTCTTGAGTGATTTATCATTTATGCCATTGGGAATTCTAAATGGGATTTTTTGCTGCTATGTATGAAGTGGAGTGAGTGAGTGGGTGGGTTGTGTGTGGCATTGTTAAGTGGGTGGATTTATTTTAGTCTATTTAATTCTCTGTCTTACGGTCTGTAATAAATATCTACAGCATGCTTATGAAACGCTAATATACCAAACTCATCTATCCCATAAACTCCATCTAACTTATCCATCCATCTGATCGCCTCTCTCTTCTTCCCTACCCCTCCCCTACCTCATCCCCGTCTCCGTCCCCTCTCCCTAACACCCCACCCATCCCTCAACAACACCCCCACCTCCTCCAACCCCAACCCCCTCGTCTCAGGATACACATTCCAAACCGCGACCCAACCAGCCGCACATATACCCGCATAAACAACAAATGTCCATTGCGGGGACAAAAATTCCATCATGGGAAGAAAGGTAAGTCCAATTATAAAATTCGCAGACCAATTTGTACAAGTGGAGAGAGAGGAGCCGAGGGAGCGGACGGACAAAGGAAAGAGCTCGGATTGCATCCAGGGGACGTTTCCGAGGCCGAGAGCGAAGGAGGCGGTGTAGAGGGTTATGGAGAAGAGGATTAGGAGGGGAGGGAGGCGGGATGGGGGGTTTGAGGAGGTTTTGAGTTGGGAACGGACGGTGCTGGTGGAGAAGGTGGAGGGGAGATCCATGAAGTGGAAACCGATGGAGCAGAAAAAGAGTCCAAGGATCATTATGGGGATTGAGATTAGGAGGATGCGGCGACGGCCGATACGATCGATGAGTAGGAGAGCGGCGCAGGTTAGGATGAAGTTTGTGAGGGCGACGGAGAGGGATGTGAGAGTTGGGGAGGAGAACCCGAGGATGGTGAAGATTGTGGCGCTGAAGTACATTAGGGAGTTCTGTGAGACTTTTATCAGTTGGGTTTCTATTGAATTGGAAAAATATACTTACGAAACCACATAATTGTTGCAGACCTTGTAATAGACAAGCGATTATCAAAGCTCTTCTATTTCCTCCGACTCCTATTAATTCCTCCCAGCTATCTTTCGCGTCGTTCATCCAGGAATCTTCCGATCCCTTATTCTTCCTCGCCATGCCTCTTAACCTCTTCGCCTCATCTTCCTCTCTCACTTCCCTCACAATCCCCTTCAAAACAGCATCTACCACCTTTTGCATCTGCGATCCGGTTCCAAAAACTTTATTCAAAACACTTCTCCCCTCATCTACCCTCCCAACCTGTACCAACCACCTCGGCGTCTCAGGCATAAACAGCATAACCAAAATCTGCACCAGAGCCGGCAGCGCTCCCAACCCAACCATCCACCTCCATCCCGTCTCTAAAGTTCCCCATTCCACAAATGCCCAGCCCACAATATAAGCCACGACCTGACCCAACGTAATAAACAACACATTCAACACCACCAATCTACCTCTCCACATACTAGGCGCCAATTCACTTATATACAATGGAGCCACGAAACTACCCGCTCCGACCGCGAGCCCTACAATACTTCTTCCGAGGATCATACCCCATACTGTGGTTGTAAATGCTTGGATTAGTGCGCCGAGAACAAATGCTAAATCTGCGAGGAGAACGACGCGTTTGCGACCAAAGGAGGAAGCGAGCACGCCCGAGAGAGGAGAGATGAGGAGTGCGAAGAGAGAGGTACAGGATGTTATAAGGGATTTATCGAGGGTTGTTAAGGAACGTCCCAGAGAGTTATGGAGGCTTATCAACGTGGAGGATATGACGCCTGTGTCGTCTGGTTTTTATGTTATTAGCTATGATCTATGATACTCGCAGATGGGAATTGGAGTAGAGTGTAAGATGGAGAAAACCATACATCCAAATAACAGCCCGCTAATTCCAGCCGAAAAAGTAAGTAACCAAACGAATAAGCCTGGTTTACTTAAATTCTTCTCGAGAAGTAATGAGATATCTTCATCTCTATTCTGCTCCTCTTCTTCCGCGCCAGGCTGATTCGACAAGAGAGGTTCTTCGGCTGTAGACGACGCCATTATTTCCAATGGGATATCTATTTCAGATGCCAGCGTGAGGAATGTGAACCTTGAGTTCACATATCGTAGCTCATTTGCTTAAATGAATGTTGATTATTTGTATTTTGTTGATGATGATATTGATATTGCTATGTGATACGAGAGGGTTGAGGGAGTAGCTCAGCCGCGTGGTTCCTGAATGGTCTGTTTGTGGGTCTGATTCTGAGACATGTTGGTTCGTGCGTGGTATATGCAGGGTTTATACAAGGATTGTGTGGGGGGAGCCCGCAATTAGGCTTTGTTCAGCCTTGTGAGAAGGCTATGTGTGATCTATCCGATAATGCAGAGTGCGTTGCCAAATAGTATTATTGAGGGTCTGTTCTGATCGATTTTCAAAAATATTAGAAATATTAATAAAATATTGGGTCTACTATATATTAAGATATATTTGAATGAGGCTAATATATTTGGGAGATATTAGATTTAATTTTTTTATTAGATCTAATATTGTGTTTGATAAATACAGGTATTTGATCTAATATATATTGAATATCATATCATATTCGATTCGATTATATTAGGTCTAATATATTGATACAAATATGGTCAAATGTGGAAAAAAAATCGATCCGAATGTGCCCTTAGGCTCATTCAGAGATATCAGGGATACCAGGCTTGACGATACCGCGTTCAGCACAAAATAAAACAATTGGGCTTCGCATGCGGAAAAAATGAAGAAAGCTCAACCACCTCAATGCTAGTAAGTGCCATTATGGGTAGCAAGAATTCTGACGCATCTTCCATGTTCTCCGTTTCAACAATTGACAATACGAAAATAAAGAAAAAAGATAAGAGGTTCGGAATATGGTCTATTTCTCTCTACTTTGGCTCGGTCCAGACCATCAATTTGATTTTGCGCAAAGATTGTCAGGGGAGCCAGGTGGATTGAACGGCAGGCTGAACTGTATTTCAGGAGTTTCCACAAGTGGAGTTTGTCGCCATTTAATGTATCTTCAGATTTACCGTCCAGGAAAAACGTGTCTATATTGTAGTTGAACCTAGCTCGCGGTTTGACTCCTAACGAGCCGAAAGTAAGCGTGTAGGTCTCGGAAGCAACTTGCAATGATTCTCGACAAGTATAGAAAAATGATGGATTTGATGACGCAAAGCCCCTAACAGACCCCCGAAAAGAGTCCTGGGAAATGCGACTGCTACTGATTTCTGACCTGTGAGTTGAATGTTGTAAGCAATGTAGTCATGAAAAGCGAGGTCGCAAATATTTTAGGATCAATAACAAAAGTACTAGGTAAAACTCACTGAACAATAGAATATCGCGTATATAGCTTCAGATACAGTTTAACATAAGCTATATAACTTTACATATATACACAGTACAATCTCAAGTATTTAATGTTAGTTCGTGTACATAGCTTAAGAATCCTCGTCACTGCTTTTCAAAACCAGCGGCCTCCACTAAGGTAGGTAATACTTTTGATATGTGTATTTGGAAGTGAAGCGGAGTTGTTTGAAAGTGAAGTCAATACCTCGTACCCCACCCTGCTGTCGTCCGATTCCTTCTCGCTTCTCCCAAACATCAACACACCATTTGCCTACAACCTTACTTTCATCATAATATAATTCTAGCATTCATATTTCATATATATCATTTCAATAGATGCCTCATATACGAGTGTCATTAACATGAATTGGACAGGAGGACGCCTGCAGAGGCATTCTGGAAAGTCTTCTCGTGGTGCTGGTGCCTTGACCAATAGACAAAAGGAGCACTTCGCGAAAGTGAGAGCCAACTTACGAAGCTGTGGTCAAAGAAATACTCCTAAAGAATGGTTGATCTTTGATAGAATTCCGGTTGGTGGTCAGTCAAAAGGACAATCGTCCAAGGATCATGCCAATTCAATGAGGAATCATGAGCATACTTCGAGACAGGAAAGGGGGGGAAATGGAATTAGGCCTGGACGTTGGGCTGATCGCAAAGAATACAATGAATCTCTTACATCTCATTCAACACAGAGAGGCCCTCAAGAAATACGTGAGAATGCTCGTCCTTCGTCAGTTGAGATCTTTCAAAGAAGTTCCCAACCTGACGATGATTTTTACAACGCGACCCCTCCACCAGTAAGAGCCAAGCGCGAACATATTGCATCCTCAGCAGCTAGAGATATTTCGCAAAACTATGAGTTGCAAGAACTAAGTGAAGACCCTATAGAAGAGAGAATACGAAAATTATTGAGTCAGAAAGACTGGGTTGGCTTAAGCCTTCGCCGCCAACCACAGCTGAAGGTCAAAGGCTCAGAATATGATCCAGATATTGGAAAAAGAAGAAAAATGATAGACGGCCATGGAGCAAGATATTCCAAACTTCAAACAAGAATCAGCTCGCCATTCGCGGCAAGGAAAATTCGAATTCGTCAAGAGGAAGAGGGTCATACACGGGAAAGGATGCCAAAAAATGATGTTAGGATTTCCATTGGTAATAGGATCATCCCACCGGGCATAAGTTCTAGCTCGCAACCGAACAAAATCAATCACCAATTTACATCGCGTATGATGCATCAAATATCGTCACCAGATCATATGTTGCTAGACGATGATTATATCATGGACCAGGAAGATTTGAATAGTGATAGAAATCTTTCCACTTTCGAAATAAGAACATATGGCGATGGAGGACATCGAGCTTCTGCAATGAGTAATCGATCAAACGCAATCCAAGATGAGCTTAGAAGTAAAGATTCCCCATTCTCTCGCACATCCGTCAGATCAAGTTGTAATACTAGTATGAAACAACCAGTGCCGACCCGTCCCACAAAGCATCCAGTTCTCTATATAAGTTCACCTAAGTGCAACAGCAGTATGCTTGCACAGGTTGGAGAATCAAAAGGTGATGATTCTGAAAATCAAGTTATGGAGGATGACTTGTGGAGGACATGGATGGCGCCTTCCGCACAAGATACAGAATATTGTAGTTATGATATTCCAAGAGAAGGAGACTCAGAAGACCAAATGGTCCCAATAAGCCCGGAACTGAGCGCAATTCCAACCTCCAATGAGGGCACTTTTAGTGCATCGAGACTCGAAAATGAAGGTTCGGGCGGACAATATCAGCATGCCGGGTCCTGGGAAGGCTGCGAGAGCTCGCCAACACAGGAGGAGTTTGCAGAACGATATAACAAAGATATATACCATTTTGAAAACGCCAACCACATACGGCACAATGATGTATCACACAGTTCGGACTTCTCTGACCAGTCCCTCTCGTCTGATTGTTGCGAGCCTAGAGGTGGCGAAGGAGCAATCTCTTCTGACCAATATATGGACGAAGACCATGTCTCGAATGAACCGCAATATACTCAATCTTCACAGAGAAGATCTTCAAGCATTGCTTGGGACCCTCCTAAGGACTCAACTCCTGATGCAATCGAGCCTTGTCAACGCAAGTGTACTGATCGTTCACGGCCCAACATTTACTGTCTTCAGCGGAGCACCACTGTTGCTAGACAAAATATTGAACCGGATAAGACTCTTCCACAGCAGGAAGTTGTGCAGTGGAAATCAAGCCACAAGCTTGATGGGAGAGATATTCGCGCTGTCAAAGCTCTTGAGGACGGGACAGACCGAAATAAGCTTTGGATGAAGTTTATTTTTGGGAAAGATAGTGGAGACGAGGAGGAGATGTTATTCAGCAGGACTACATCCACCAGGACTAGACTAGCAAGCAACCAGTTAAAGTCTCCTAGAGGTTTAGATTCCGATATGACTGCCAGTCGTTCACCTGCGGGACATGAAAATCGGAGGGATCGGAGGGTACAAGCATCATCAACGACCTCAACATCTGTACACAACTCTATCAAGCCTGAAATCCAATTACAACCTAGATATACTACACCAGTCTGCAATTACGGCCGTTGGCACAATCCCCAGCAAGATGACGATGCAACCAACTTTAAATCCTCGTTTCATGGTGACTGTCCATCTTCAGAGCCAGAATCGGTTTCTATGATCGCCGTTCCAGGTTCCCAAATCGATGTATCAGAGCCAAACCAGATGAGGTCTTTCCTAGGAACACAACGCAAAGTCGTCTTCACAAAGCATCAACCTTTTGTTGGATCGAGAGCAAACGCACAGTCCTTATCTCCTGATAGGACTACGCATATTGGCAGAGGAGGGTCCGGGAAGCAGACCAGTAGTGGTCCTGGCATGAAGCTTGTAGAGGATGTAGAGGATGATTAAAGAGAATTGTAGTGTTTAGTACGTATTTAGGAGCTTCGGGACTATCAGGCACGTTAGCTGTTTTCGAGAGCTGGGGTTGGCTAGATGTTTGGATGGTTAGCACTTAAAATAGGGCTTATCGAACGCACGGTGCCTAACGGGCCAAGCCCCAAAACGGGACAGAAGCTACAATCACATCCCTGAGCCTCATCGATGAACTTTGATTCTTTGCAGTTTTGGTGATACCCGTGAAAGAGGGGTTCGATGTTGCTAAACTTAATCACGCACCTAGAGTTGCATCAAGCCTGTCGATAGCCTTAAGTCACTAGTTTGATCTTAGCTCGTTGCCGCTAGCACCCTTTGTCATTAAAGTATCCATCTAGAGATTACCTTTCGCCGAAGCTATTATTGTCTTTATTGTCTCATTCTCTCGACTGTAAACTTAACGGTTTTACTCGCAAAAGAACTATTGGTCAGTGTCCAAACACATTCGAAGTCTCGAATCAGTAAACTTCCGATTTTTTCTCTGATATCTAGACCATCTATCTAGGCACACATCATACGGCATTATCTATTTGATTTCTCCGTTTCCTCCTAAATGTACATCAAAAGGATTTTGTTAAAAGGATTTTCCAGTCTGCACCTGATTCCTAAGTGATATCCAAGCGGACACACCGGCGACCAAGAAGGAAGAACTGGAAGGTTCAATGACCTCACATTGCGATCGATCGATCTCTTACATATACGATACGTGTCGTCGCAAATCCTTTCTATAAAGTGTGTAACATCAGGCATTTTCTAAAATTACCAGGACCACCGTTATGGGAATGAGAAACGATCATATGCCAGGGCAAAATAACAATATTCGGTAGAGAGAACACCAAAAAATGGGTAACTGATCATCGCGCATGCGTACCCTTATCCACCGCCAAGGCGAAACAAGGGAACCAAAAACTCAAAAACTTGTTATCTTTGACCTCAAATTAAATGACGCCACACCAAAATCTTCCAAAGAAAAGAATCTGTGGCGGTACATGTGGTCCGGAGTCATCATTCTACTTCATTATCATTGGTTGGGCACCGAGTGGATTAAGTCAAACGAAATAAAGGTAAATAAGATCTGTTAAAACATGTAAATCTTTGCTGATGTCTCCTTTTTTCCTGTCACATTTATTATTGGAGAGTGGGTGTTACGGTAGTGTGGATAGAGTAAGAATACAAAGAGATAATGATTCTCACGGAGGTTTGTTCCGGACCATGTTTAATTGGAAGTTGTATAAGAACACGGTTACGTCACGTCAGAATGTGTTTAATATATGTTGCTATCGATTCACTCGAGGGTGAAGTATTTTTAAGCTGGATTTGGATTATTCACTCAGTATTTTACTTTTTAGCTATCCAGTTGCAGAATAGCCGATCGTGTCCTCTCTTACCCTTTTGGCAAACCAAACTTAATATCATTCCACTATCGAGTGCACAAACCTCCACACGAATCTAAACTCATAAGAAGCATCAAAACCCTCAACCAAACAACCATAGATACAGAATGACAGCCTTGAATCCAACGCAAAAGTCGCCGGAAAGAGCATTTGCTCTGCAGAAATATCTACTTCTCCACTCTCAACATGATGCTCTCCAAAAACACCTCAACCAAGTCACTGCTACGGTTCAACAAACTCCCACAGCATTTGCCGATCGCCATCGTAACTCTTCAGTCTCTTCAGATAGCAGCAATGCTAGCGACACACCTGTGTCACCCCTCAGCGCACCTATGACAGCTCCTCGTGCCCGCAGAGGCAGCCTCCCACCTTCTTTCGGTCATATGCAACATTTTCACCGCGAGAATAGAATCAACTCTCTGCCAGCTGTGGTTGATGAAACGGTGGTAGAAGAGATTGAAGAAGATGAACAAAAGTTAAAGGATGTAAATCAACAAATCAAGACTACCTTGACGGATCTACTCAACTGCGAAAGTGTGAGGGGTGATCTTAGATATAGGAAATGGGTGCAAACACGATTGATGGACACAGAACGAGAATTGAAGGAGAGCAGATCGAAGAGTTGCGAGAGAAGAAGAAGTGTGGATATGAGTCTCTCAAATTAGGGAAAAACGGTGGAAGATTGAAAAATGAAACAGATGAGAGATGAACGATTTGATACCTTGATAGAATGGTCGGTTTATTGGTGGTTGGGTATGGTGCTCAGAATGGGTATCGAATATCTTCACTGTGGATCGGGTTTAAAATGGCGTCTTTTTGGAGGGAGCAAAGCGATTTTGGCTTTTTGCGGATTGTATTTGATACCCATATGCTGTTTGTAAAAATAGTTTTATTCAATTCTATGCCTTTTCATGTACGCATGGCTTCTTGAACATAACTACTTTGTGGTGAGGATGCTGTGATGGTACTAGGTATGTATGCCATGTAATGCAATCTATTAGGATGCATTCATTACCGAGTCGCTTTGTTCTATGGTAAGGAAGGCTATGGGCACTTCTTTTACAACCGAAAAAGCCCCACAGCATATGCTCTCCGCCCACACTCGGTACTCCCTACCTACCTACCTACCAACATCATCGAAGAAAGACAAAAGAACAGGATAATTGTTTCCTTATTATTTCCAGTTATAAATATCACTCCACCAATAACCAATCAAAGTATCTCATCCTATTAATAAAGACTGGATTTCCAACAGCGATCAAACGTCTGATCCGAATTACCGACCGTGGCAATGTCCGATATGTCAGCGCAACAACGCAACAAACGTTTGGAGTTTCGAGCCTCGGATGAAGCAGATTCCGTTTCGAAAATAATACATTCCAGACGAATTTGATGCCAAATCATCTCATGTTGCTGCATTCGTGGTTTGGATCCCTAGATAATAGGTGAGATGATGGTAGGCTATGCTTTTTTCATCATAGGTATATATCTAGGTACCTAGGTATATATAGCTATGGAACTATCGATGCCCGAGCACATTGCTTCTTTTTTATCTTTGGATGATATATTGAGGTAGATTTCTTAGTTTATATTTTTTGTAGATTCTGCTTTTGTGTATCATTTTATTTAAAGTTTGATTTCAAAGATTGGGAGAGAGAATTTTTTGAAGGGAGATTTTGTATCGTAGTCACGATTAGTCGCCTTGGAAGAGATGGAGAAATGTAAAGAAGAGAAGATTGCTCCACAGCATAAGAGTGCGTGGTTTGGATTCATCAAGGTATGTTTTCTATTGTCATTCATATGATTCTCGTCTTCAAAATCTATTTGCACAACGCACAATAGGAAGCACATGCTCGGCACAGACTTTAAATAGTTGCGCGCATGGATGCTTTCCCGTCGGAGCCTCTAAGCGTTTGGTGGAATAGCTTCAGTGCACAGACAGAGCCTCGAAATAGGTACATCAATTAATACTAACAATCAATTCCTCTAGTCCGTTGCAACATTCAAAGGCGACCTCTCATCTCTCACAGCACCTCCATTTCTCCTCTCACCACAATCAATTGTCGAGTTTCCTACCTATTGGGCAGAACACCCTTCTTTATTCATTGCACCTACACACTCTGGGTCTCCCGAAGAAAGAGCATTACTAGTATTGAAATGGTTCATTAGTACGTTAAAATGGCAACACAGTACTAGAGATGAGAATGGGAAAAAGAAGGGGATGAAACCCCTCAATCCGTTTCTGGGGGAGTGTTTTATGGGTTCTTGGGAGGACGATGGAGAAGGAACTGGGAGAACAGAATTGGTTGCTGAGCAAGTTAGGCAGGTTTGATTATTCAGGAAGAGAATGAAGAACAAAATACTAACATCCAATAGTCATCATCCGCCAGCTACAGCATACAATATTTGGAATGAAAAGCATGGCGTACAAGTAAGTGCTTCTATTACTCGTTGATCCCATTATCCCTCTATACTAATACTATCCTCCTCTAGCTCCAAGGCACCATAGCTCCACAATCCTACTTCAGCTCAACAGTACATATCGAACGCCATGGATACTCCTTACTAACCTTTTCCCAACAAAATGAAACACATTTAATTACCATGCCACCCATCCATCTTACCGGTCTCATGTCTGGATCCCTAAGTCCTGAATTAAGTGGCACCTCCTATATTCGTTCTTCATCTGGTTTCACAACTCGAATATCCTACTCCTCAAAAGGTTGGATTAGTGGAACACCTAATACATTCTCCGCAATCATTTATAAAAAATCCGAGAATACCCCAATATTCAAAGCCGAAGGGCAATGGAGCGATAAATTCAACGTCAAGGATATGAGATCTGGGGAAAATATTTTGCAATTCGATGCGAGTTCATTGAAGAGAAAGTCGATAAAGGTAAAACCACTGGAACAACAAAAGGAATTCGAATCGAGGAGAGCTTGGCGTCACGTTACACAAGCTATTAACGAAAGTGATATTTTCAAGATCGGAAAGAAAAAGGGGAAGATAGAGAATGAACAGAGGGAAATGAGGAAGAAGGAAAAAGTCGAGGGAAGAGAGTGGGAGAGGAGATTTTTTGTGAAAAGGGGGAGGGACGAAGTTGCCGAAAGGCTAGCAAATGGTCTAGAGGGTTTGAAATTGGATAGTGGAGCTGGGATGTGGAAATGGGATATCGATAGGTATAGGGCTATGGATGTAGGGTTTAAGGAGAGGATGAGACTTGGGGATAGTAAAATGGATGCTGCTGTAAATGGAATGAGGGGTCCTTTGGTAGCAGCGAGGTGGAATTCAGAAGTTATGGTTTAGTGTAAGTTGTAATGGTGTAAGGTGGTATCAAGGCAGGGCTTTAAGAAACTCATAGGAGAGGCTTAGGATTGCGGAAAATGCAAGAATATTCTTGTTAATTAAATGGAGAAGTAATTGGGACGACGACAGGTGTTGGCTGCTGCAGCCTGTGCTATATACTGTGCGGCTCTAGCCTTGACCCTTGTGTATTTCCTCTATAATACGCAGAATTTTATTATCTATGTTCTTTTCTCTCTCTTTATTTTTAGGTCTCCAATATCCCGAACATTGTATTGTCGTTCTAATCTGATCCCTTTACGAATAGAGACTAGATGTCTTTTGTCCTAGAAGCGGGCAGCTAATTAGACAGTCACGTCACTCAGTCAGACAGGAACGAATTAGATTCAGATTCAGTATATATAATACATAATTATATTCTTCTTACACAGATTAGATGTTATCAAGGTGCCGGTAAATGAGCCTTTTGAGAATAGAAGAATGGATGACTAAAATTAATAAGAGATATATAATTCAAGAAACTACAATTAAATCTTGTACTCTACTTTTGAGCCCCCGCACCCCCTTTCTTTTCCTTAGGTCACCTTCCCTATCCAAAACAAACGCGCCATGCATTTTAGTTTTCAGTGGATAAAACTCATGACTACCTACTCATTAGACTCATAAGCTCTAGACAGCAAGTGCTTAGATAGAAAAATCCATAATTCGTGTACATTGCACACACTGGTCGACAATTGCAATGAAGATCTCCCTGAACAAAATGCTGTTAAGAAGAAGAGGAGGGGGGCACTCACTAAATAGAAGCAAGCACGGTTAGTTAAGTACGTTCTCCTGTCTGAACTCTCTGATTGATGTAGATATATCAAGTGGTTCTTTTGCCTCAAGATAATATACAAGACATCTCGCCATGTTTTTTTCTCGTCATTATTGGCCAATAGGCCTTCCCTTCCCTTCTTTATGTTCAAATTAATCTATCTCTTTCGACTTCTCGAAACACATGAGCACCGTCTTGTGGTCGTTGGTCGTGTTGTAATTGGTGTGATAACGTCGAAGATGCGATATTGGTGGCGTGTTCTTTAGAGTCTAATGTTTCTAGGGTTATGAGATTCACTTTATACATGTCTTTGAGATGTTTAAGCGTACTGATTTCGTGAAGAAATTTAGACTTCAGTTAGTACAAAGAAGGAATTATTCAAAAACCTAATTTGGTAGATGTTATATTTATGAAAATATTAAAGTCTTTGAAAAGATTTAGATTAATAAATTAATTTATCATATTTTTAAAACAAATTTTATGATTATATAAATCAAAATTTACATTGTTTATCAATTTAATAATGATTGTGATATTTTTAAAAGTTGTGTAAAGTAATAAACAAGAACTTCTACGAACCAACTATCCACTGCCTTCGCTTTTCCACTAACCAAATTGTGAATTCATCAACCGAACTCATGTTCTGAGTCTACATACCATACGATAGTTTTATTCTTCTAAGACCATACTTAGATCTGCTTTTCAATTTGACAGAACACTATGACTTTCTCTGAAAGCTCACACACTCCGCCCCACGATGCTACAATCCATCAGCTTGTCATCAATCCGATCTTCGATACTCTCCCTCCAACTGCAAGAGAAATTCTACGTACACTATCTTGCACGAGCAGCATGGTATGGAAGTAGAATCATCATGCGGCAGATGTCGCCAGAAAGCCCAAATATATTTGATTCATCATGCATATGGATCTCTATTATGCTTGCGGTGGAAAATGGGATACCGTAGTACCACAATGCGATATCACACCCGCAGAGCTTACATCCTTCCTGGAGTATGCTGCTATGTTTCTTTGCAACCTAGGGAACTATCATGTAAGTTTTAAAGGCTGTCCTTGATGCTAGCACTAATTTTTCATAGGGCGAAGGTGATCAAAAGTTTGTACCTGATTTGAATGCGGAGACCCTTCGAAAGATCGTTACTATATCCTCAAAAGCACAAGTTGGCTTGGGGAAAATCATTACTCCCTTATTAGCAATCCCACCATTTAATCTAGGATATCCTAGCAAGAACGCGCAATCGAGCTACGACACCGGCACAGAACTTATTTCCCCAGAAGAGATCGCCAATGTATCGGAGACGATGCAGACAAACTCTATCACTTATTAAAAGCTTCCACGGAGACTATTGTACCTGTAGATGGGCTACGTGAACTCTCTGATGGCATATTTATTGTTAACGGTGATCATTCGGAAGAATTATCAAAGATATGCTCCGCTTTGATCAAGGCGAAAGAGTATGCAGGTAACAGAACGCAGACTCGATTCCTAACGTCCTATATCGAATGTTTTCGCACTGGTAGCTTAGAAGCTTTTCAAAAGTCTCAGAAAGATTGGGTAACAGAGTTATCTGCAAGAGAAGAGAATATAATTGGTTTCATTGAGCCTTATCGTGATCCAGCTGGAATTAGATCAGAGTGGGAGGCTATGATAGGGATTGCCGATCTCGATGAGAAATCGAAATTGAAACTCTTTGTCGAAAGTTCAAAAGTTATCATTAGACAACTTCCATGGGCTCTTGTAAGGTGTAAATGATGTAAAAGGGCCTTTTGAAAAGAATTTTTTTGAAAGCCCTGACTTCACCAGTATTCACGGTTAGCTAAATTTGTGTCCTTGAAATAAACATGGAGACATGCTAATTGCCCTAGCGCTCGCTGTATGCGGTAGTATCATCTTCGAAGCCGCCAACCTTCCAAATGTAAGATTGAGAAGAAAATTTCCATAGAATGATGCTAATGCTCAACATAGTACGAATATATCAGGGAAACCTGTGGTTTCAAGAATATTGTTCTTGCCAACCGTCTAAGTGTTAACAACAACCAAAACTCCGTGCCACTGGGTCAAACAATCAGAACTAAATATTTTTAAGAGGAGCACACATATTGTCAGATTCGTCACTACAGCTATCCATGAAATGTTTGGCCATAGAACTGGGAAACTTCTTAGTGAAACCACACCAGGAGTCTATAACTTCGATAAGCAGAACCCGCCGATCAGTCCCTTGAGCGGGGAACCTGTAACTTCACACTACCTGCCGGGCCAGACATGGACAAGTGTCTTTGGGTAGCTAGCAGGGACAGTGGAAGAATGTCGTGCCATTCTGGTTTCGGAATATCTTATGGACAATAAGCAATTGTTACATATCTTTGGATACACTGACACCAGTGAAATCATAGCTGAAGGCCGTAAGTTGTAAGATCTTACCACGATTGATTCATACAATTTACCAATCCTTCTCATTTCAGTTCTTTATACTACCTATTTAAACATTGGTGTTGATGGTCTCCAAGCTTTTGAACACTACAATTCCCATGATAAAGCTTGGGGTCGACGTCAAGTTCACCACCAGGTACGTACACCTGCACAATATTCCCCGCTTGGTTATGTCCCGAGCTGTACTAGAATCAACATTTGACCAGGCCCACTTTTCCATTCTGAAATACCTCCTCCAGAACGGCGATGGTGTTATCCGCATTTTAGATGACCCTATAAGTTCCATCCTCTCCGTCGAAATCGACTCTACCAAGATACTATCCCATGCCAAACGCGCGCTAGGCCACTACCTTTGCCACCTGCACATTTGGCGCTGCACCGCGGATGTTTCTTCCTACAAGCAGTTCTATGAACCATTGTGTGACGTCGATGATGTGTATGAATAGTGGCGACAAATTGTGTGCTCGAAGCCGAAACCAAGATGGAAGTTCGTACAGCCAAATGCTTTTATCAGGGAGGACAGCGTTGAAGTAAAGGTTTATGAGGAAACCAATGAGGGTATTATTCAATCTTGGGCTGAGAGAAGGGTTTAAAAGCTAGGTCTTTTAAGGGATTATTTGTGCAGTTTCGTGGAGATGAAGTTAATACTTGTTTTAAATCTGGTTTTACAATCTCTAAGAATAAATGCAGCTAGCTAATGCACGGTATTCAGTAAGATCGATGGAATAGATTTTGATTATGAGAGATATTCCAAGGTTAAACTGTGAACCACCAGTATGTTTCATATTATTCATACTATTTATTCACTGTGTCAAGACCACTTCACTGCATCAACGCAACGCAACACACCGAACCTCAAAACTCTCCCTTACTTGACCACTGGCCTCCGGATGCAATAATAATAAATTAGCAATCTTTCAACGTTGTCTTTGGATTTTACGCTTGTAATTAGCTATTGCGAGATTTTTTCGGACCCTTCGTAGCAAATTCTCACCCTTGAAGACTTCAAATATTGCCCAGAGAGTTGCAGGATGGAAATTAAGAGCAAATCGTTGACAGAATCAGCGGATTTCATTTTTTTTGAGAGTATTTTCAATATCTAATTCAAGTCCCAAATCAGAGTGCGATGGCATCATAGTTTCAGCTACTGATTTTGGAGAAAAACTTCTGGCGCTTCTGATAATTGAGAGCCCCATCTTGGTCCGCATCTCCATGGCCATCACTACATCAATATTCGACCTTTAAAATCGCGCTTTTCTGATACCTTGACATTCCCCCCGAAGCTTTCGCGAAACTCATAAGCTCTTATGCGCCATCCTTCCCACTGCTTTACACTTACCTTTCGGTAATGTGATGTTATATGGGAATTTCTGATCAACATCTTGTTTGTACGAGTGCAACATGTCTACTCCTTGCCACAGCCAATATTGATGCTCTTCAGTTGCATAACCTGTATCAACCGTTCGACCGAACAATCTTCTTGGTAAAGGTCATGCGGCAACAAAAGGGAGGTGAGCTGTCTAAGAGGTCCCGGTGCGCTTTTAGTGAGCTACTAGAGGGAAGGCTCTATCGGAGGTTGGGATATTTTAGTTGTGTTTGTAGTCAATCACCCCCCTTCAAGTACGGTTGCAGCCTTTGGATCAGCTTTACAGCCATATTTTACATAGAAAGAACTCTGATGTGTGTCCACCATAATTCAAGCCATAGAGATATTTAAAGCTCTACACCAAGGTCAGAACACTCAAAACGCACCGATAATGAGATTGATAACCTATCCCCTTACCCCTATCTCTGCATTGAAATCCGACTTATGCTTATGCCAATTTATGGACTGCAGTTAGATGAGTAGATAGCTCTATCCCTTAGAATGCCAAAAACCGACACGATCACTGAACGAAGTCTTATTAACCAATCAAAACATTGGCATTCTTCAAATATCATCAAACTTTTATATTCAAAATTACATTTCTTAACTTTGAAGATATAAATTACCTAGTGTTTCCTAATCTATTCCAAGAATAAACCAGTCTATCACGAATATAATAAGACTAGCCCCGCCAAATCAAGCTTTCGATACCCCTCTACCAAGCTTTTGGAATTACTAGTGGTATCCAGGTACATAGTACATACTACGTAAGTAACTATGTCCCACAGTATGCAAAACTAGATCTGATTACCTACCTATCTGACCAGCTGATTAAAATGATGCAAAAACTCCATCTTTCCATGAAATACAATCAATACAAGCATCCACAAAATAAAACAAACCAAACCAACCTAATTAATTTTCCGTTCCCATAAAAGTTTCCAAACAAGAAATATGACCAGTTTAAAAGAAAACGGATTCAGCCTTGTCTGATACCAACACTCCGTACTAAAAGTCTAAAACTTTTTCTTTATGATTTAATTTACAGGAAATGTATAGAATTCGTCATGTCATGCGAACGGGGATTATGTAATCTTGTGTTACAAACAAGCTATGACAGACTAAAGCAGGCTGAAACATTAAAATTATGATGTCATACCCCGCATTAAGATGACCCCTCTACCATGAATTCGGATTCACTTGGAAGGAGATGGCATCAATAGTAGGTAGGTATGATATGATATGATGCTGGAGGAAGGAATGGAAATGGAAAGAATGGGGATGGAGATATATAAAGAGGTGTTGCTGCTCTTTGGGAACTTATTTTCGCATCATACTATTACTGTTATGCAAATACAGACATACGAGCAAACAAACAACGCGATTTACCTACTACGTTACTTTAATACAATTCAATTCATTCGAATTAAATCAAATCAAATCAAATCAAATCACCTCTACGAATAAATAAACAAATAATTCACAATGTCCGACAACACCTCGACTCTTCAATCATATGTTGATTCTGCCAAGGGTACAGCACAATCTGTACTTGGATCTGTGACCGGTAGCACCGCCGACAAAGTACGTATTTTACCCACTCCAACCTTCCACCCACAACCCTCATCCACAAACCGCAACTCCCCCACTAACCCTTACCCCTCAGGAAGCCGCCGCCCAGAAAAAAGACAAAGCCTCCCTCGAACACGACGCCTCTCACGCCGGCGCCTCAGTAGGCGGCTACTCGGTCTCCTCTAGCGGAGCCATTTCCGAAAACGATCCTGCGCGTCAAGAAGGTTCCTGGAACCAAACAATTGGTTCGGGTAAAGAATTCATAGGTGGGATGCTTGGAGCTGAAGAATTGAGAAAGGAAGGCAGAGAACAGAATGCAGCGGGTAGAGGACAGCAGGCGCAGGGACAGTTGAATGATCTAGGGAGTGGGGTGAAGGATAGGGTTAAGGGGAGTGTAGGGGAGAAGGTGGCGGGGGTGAAGGGGGATAGGGGTCGAGGAGGAGAGGAAGAGGGAGTTGCATGATGTGGGGAAGTCGAGACAGAGGGGGGTGGAGAGTGAGTTGGAGAGGGAGGCATAGTGAAGGGGTTTTTTGTGGGGGGGGGGGGGGGGGGTGTTTGAGGTGGATGGAGGAGGGGTGACTGTATGATAGATAGATATCTGTGTGGGTTGGGATTTGGTGCTTGGTTCTTGGGGTTATATCGTTATTGCGCAGTTTGATATCCTATGATAGGAGGGAATTAACGAATGAATGAATGAATGAATGAAATGATGCTTTTCCAGCTATTCCATTCTAAATTATAATCTCACTCTAAAAAAGACCTCAAATCCTACTAAGTAATATACTTCGAAGTACTCTTCTCAACTCCATTTCCCAATTAAATTTCAATATTAATCTTCTCTGACAGAAACTTAAATAAGTATGATATACATCCACTGTTCAGACAGACAGATAATTATCTTACAAAAACAGCTACTAGTATAAACTCAACACGCTCTTGTCGCATCCACTTCACATTTATATTTATATCCCCCTCCTTACTCATCAAATAACAAAAAACCAAAACAAAATACCTAATAATCATGTCACGATTCACCATTAGGATTGATGGTGTTACGATGGTAGCAAACTGATTAATTAGGAGAGCTTAGGCCGTGTGCAAACACGATCAGATTTCATCGAATTAGTATGTGATCTTGGTCACCTGAAGATCGTATGCGCACGCACCATCAGAAATCGCGTGATAAGGAGTCTTGAGGAGCCAGAAAGCTTCTAGGGGCCCCCTTTATTGTTCAGTATATAGTCAGAGTAGTTTCATAGTTTAGGAGCTTCGTGCTCAACTTAGTTATCAATTAGTTTACCTACATTCTACTTGATCTAGTAACGACTTCACTTCCAAGTGAAGACTAGTGATAAAGCCTTAACCCACAACTACCAATCAGACGAAACCTCAGGCAGCCGCTGCCTCCGGTACAGTATCGTTACATGTATCTGTATTTTTATAGATAATTTGGAAAGGGTTTGATGGTGATGATTCTGAGACTCCATCATATCAAATTTCCCTTCCACTAGCACTAGGTGTATTTAAATTTCCCACCTCGTAGCAATTCTAATCTTATCTTTCGACTCTGGCACTCTGCACCGGATCGAGTTGAGTTCCATGGACTCAGAACTGGTTTCTTCTCCTGTGTGAGTGAGTGATAGTCTTGGGCGTTATGGATAATTCGAAGTGTTTATCTGAGCCAAGCTTAAAAATTAAGAATGTTTTTTGGATCTCGTGGTTTTCATGTTAATATATCTAGATATCGTGAAAGATATGACCAACAGCTTGGTGGTCTCACCACAATACATCCAATCAGACGGTGAGTCTTATTTTGGTGCGAAGCGAGACAGTGGCTTTTGTCTTGCCGTCACTTGGGAGCCGAGCGATGGGAGTTTATTATCCGTGACGGACTTTTTCTTCTATTTGCGATTCTTTCCATTTGTGAATTAAGAGTTTTGAGGATATACTGAACATTAAAGATCAAAGACAATTCAAGCCTGAAAGTTCACTACTTAATCACATGTCTTATTCCTTGTTGCCCATTAATGCGCCTCTTTTAATGTACATCTCGAGGCAGTTAAATCAAAACTTTATAGTGAGATTGATCGTGACTTCAAAACACGGAAAAGATTTATGCCGAAAACGTGTGCGTATGGTTTCATTCAAATGCCTGGGCATATGCTCACCCGGCTAAGAAGTGACATCTTCACCGTACTGCCAAGCCTCATGGCTGATTGATAAATAGAATACCTTTAGATGAAGGTATTTTGGACGAAGCTTGACTATATTATTGATCTTCAAGTAGTCAATTCCCAGCCGCATCAGTCATAGCCTCATATGTGAAAACTATGCAGCATATAGAGTTTTGGGATAGGAAAATCCCGAGAATTAAGGCTTTCATCGCGAATATTAGGAACAAGATGTGCATCAACCATATAACTATATCAAAAGCTGAAATTCTCCGCCATTGGGAGATTGAAAGTTCGATTGTAAAAACCCCGCAAACAACTCCACGGTGGAGTTTAAAGGACATGCCCCACCATTCAGATCTTGAAATACTTGTTTCAAAGATGCAGAGCGACGTCACTATGCTTTTTTCCCGAAGAAGAGGATCAAACAGGTCAGAACACTGCGAGTCTTCTTTAGATGTATGGCCAGAAATATTGTCCTACATGTAGAGCCTGGACGCAAATCATCTACCTAGCTGATACAAGCTAGGCATCCAGTTGACCCTTCAAGTTCGTTGGCTTGAATGCCATAGTAAAATTTCTATGGTCTGCCCAGTATGGAAATGATTGTCCGCGTAGATGTCCTCATGCATTCTCCTCATGTTGAAGAGTTTTAAAATTACAATTCCATGAAATTGAAAATGCTTTGTTGAACGACCGAGCCAACCATTGGAAGAGTCATGGTGTGAATGCAAGGCCAAGAGCCTCAAAAATTCATCGGATATCACGGATGACACCTCGGGAACAGGGCATATGCAACTTGCAAGTGAATTGAGTTCAACCCAATTCCTCGGAATGAGTGTTTCCGTGGAAGAAAGTCATCTTCGATCTCAATTCATGCCAAAAGCCACCACTGGCAAGAGAAGGTAAGAATCGCATGTTAATTCCATTCGAATACCGCCACGTCTCGGAATCTGGTTGCCATGAGATATCGGATGGGCTGCCGAATGAACACTTTCCAAAATGGAGTGAGTTGTGTGTCGGAAAGCAGAGAGCGGGAGCAGAAGAAAAGTGCATATGGCATGAGATGAGGAAAGGTATGTATTACAAAGAATGATATATCCTAAAGTAGGTAGGTAGGTATTGATAGGTAGGAAATACCAATGACCAAGGACTAATGACCAATGAACGTCCTCCTTGTTTTACGAGCAGGCGGGGTAGTACTCGTAAATATACTTCTCTTCCAAGATCATTGGTAAGTCTTATCTTTCTCTCCTTTACCACATCTTGAAAAAAGTCGACATATCATATAGGTATATGTTGAAATTCGTATGTTTAAATTCTTCAGAAATGCTGTATAACTTTAACCCACATGGCTGGGAAATGATTTCATTGCATCTCTGTATGACCTTTGCTTGGTGCAACAAATCCATGATCAGGTTCCAAAGGCTGTGGAAGGTCAAATGGACTGATTATCAAAAGCCAAGAAAATCCAAATGAGTCTAGATGCTAAACCCGTTGATCAAAACTTGTATTTTTGATAATGAATCGTAGCGTTGGGAAGATTTTTGGAATTTGAAGAGGTGGAAAAATGGATGAAAAGGGGTGAAATTTGCTTCTCCCGATAATACGACAACACGACAACACGAGGACAGGATTGATTGCCAAGACTGGGATCACATCGATGAATTGATAGATCGGTATCCGTATCTCCATTGGACTTTTATCTTCTTCATCTATGTATTTATGTTACTTATGTGTAAGATTTGGTGGCTTTATGCATGATTCCCGAATAAGTAATTCCGCATCAACGAAGAATTTCCCAATTGGTCCAATATTTTGATTCCTTATATAGAAAATGTTTAAAATGACGTTGATCCTTGTTCTCTTTTGATAAACATTTCGTCATTGTGGACATCATATATGGTAACACTGCCTAGAAAGGGAAAGAGGTCCTAAATTTTCATAATGAACACAACATATTTATTTTTTTGATTTTCTGTCTTTTCATTTATCTGCGATAAAGCAGTAGCAGGAGGTAGGTACTCCCAGGCAATATTCTATCAACCCACAATATCCAGGTGATACTTCCAGCTAAAATGATGAAGTTAAGAATATCAAATTCTACAAGTACAAACAGTATTCTCTAAATATATGTTTATCAAGTATACCTCTTATGATGATGATTCCGGTAATCCATCTGGCGACTTGAGATCATGTATCTTCGATATCATAACTAGAAGGAGGCTGAAGTATATTCTTAGCATTTTAATCTTAGATTGAACTCACACTCACAAAATGTCGAGTAGGTACTTCACGAGTAAGTATCACGACAAAGAAAGATTGCTTCAGATCTAGATTGCTCCAACTGGTCTGATTCTACAGATGAGGGACTGTAAGACTCACCAAAACAAACCAAGGTAACACCTTTAACAACTGTCACATCAAAATGCTTCAACTCCCGCTCCCGTTTGTTCCCATGATAGATATCCAAAGAGTCATATATGTTGTGGTCAAAGGAGTAGAAACCTGGAGAGTGACCCTTACTTTACTTTGGTCTACGAATACGATACGGATAGAATTGGGTTGCAAGAGTTATTGTGTAGATTAACCCCACCATCGCTAATCACCTTACCAATTCACTCCAAGAACGAAGATCCGGAACATCTTGCTTCTACTATTTCTTCTATTTACCATATGAACATTTCGGGATATTGATACAATTTTCTTGTACCGTAGAAAGTCCTTTGAAAATAAGGGAAGAGAAAGAAGAGAAAGAAAATCAGATTCCAAAAGTTCTTGATGATCATCCGACAATTAAAAAGTAGTCACCACCAACCAACCAAACATTCCATCATTTCCTTCCAAAGGGAATCTCCGTGGCACGAATAGATAAAAAATCTAAAAATCCAGATGGCTCTTGCTCTGTCTGGTACGTACCATCTACCGTCTTGTGCTCTCGATCTGGTCTGATCTGGTCTTGAATACTTTATTTATGATATATCCGGGCATCAACATAATTTGTACACGGATACAATAATAGATATAAAGGGAGGAGGATATAAATATATAAAGATGTAAATTGTATGGTCTGCCATGATACTTCTCCCTCCAAATTCATCCGAGATTAAAAAGCTTAACAGAATCACATCTTTTGTCAACTGTCAAGTGTCCTTATTAGTATTTTACCATTTAATTCCAGGATTCCAACCAATAACCACATATCGAGGATCCAAGGGCTTGCTTACAATCATACAACATTGGGCTTTGTTGTGGGGATTGGATTTCCGAGGGAGCATTTCCCACATTCACTACACATTTCCAGATTCATCCAGTCACATTGAGATTCACGTTCATACTCGCACTCACATTCACGGCTGTACACCTTTTCCATGCTTATTATTACCTAGTGTACTTACTACTTCATACTTAATCCTTGCTTGGGTAGTCTTACTAATTCAACTCTTCAACTAGAAGGAATCGCCCTTCACCCAATCATCTCTCAAAACTATCCTCGGGTTCTCCCATCTTCCCTTCCCACTTTCCGCTAAGGTTTTAGACGAAGGGAAGGTATTCCATCGGGCTTCCATTCAACCCTGCCTTACGTTTACAATTCTATATCCACCCCACCATCGCGATTCTGAAGCAAGTAATCCCAACCCACTGAACAACTTACAACAAAAAAAATCACTACACAATCCCCCTCCAACATTTCTCGAATTTGTTGAACGACAAACCGTTGTCGTTCATACAATCACTTCACAAACATCATAATGTCCTCTTCCACTTCTACCTCAACTCCCACTCCAAAAACCGTCCCCGTGGCACCCAAACCCGAACCTGTCAAAGAAAAATCTCCAGTTCCTGTGGTTCCACCTAAAATCATCGAAGAACAAGATGTTGATGAAAGGGTAAAGCTTTTCTTTGCGCATCCTCCAACACCAAGTTTACACATCAGAGAGAGTGAGAACTGACTCGGCGCAAAAACAGAGTGATGACGGTTCCGTTGGTCCACCAGATCTCGGTGATAATATCGATGCGGCTACCTTTGAGCAAATTCTAGAGATGGACGATGATGAAGATGAACGAGAATTCAGTCGTTCGATCGTTTTTGGATTCTTTGAGCAGGCCGAACAGACTTTTACTAAAATGGATGATGCACTGTAAGTGGGGCACGTGTGTTTGTGTGTCGGTCGATGTATATGATATATTTCAGGAAGATGGGGCATCTGCGGAACGCAGATATGAATACAGATACTGACAATGTGCAGTGAGGAAGGCGATCTGGCAACACTTTCTTCCCTCGGTCATTTCTTGAAGGGATCCTCGGCAACGTTAGGATTGACAAAGGTCAAGGATAGCTGTGAAAAGATTCAACATTATGGACAGAAGAAAGATGAAGCTGGCACAACCGATGAACCCGATGAGAAGAAATGCTTGGAGAGGATTAAAGAAACATTGGTATCGGTAAAGGAGGAGTACGACGAGGTTGAGAAGGTCTTGAAGAAGTTTTATGCCACTTGAAGGATGGTCGTATACACACATACCCCCCCCAAAAAAACACCATGATGGAGGATCGTTTTCGTGCTTGAGGCTATCTGATCTGGCAGAAGCAACCAAAAGTATTGCCTATCGAAGCTCTTGTGACGACATTGAAGTTCATGCACGAGCAATGTACTTTTCTTACAACACAAGCTCCTCATAGCTCAGGCGTCTCGGATTGCATTCACATACTTTTACGTCGTCTGGAAATGGCATATGGGTTTTCATGGATTTTGTTTTTTAACTTTTTTTTTTATTGGTCCATATGATGGAGATATTTTTTTCCTTTTGTTTTTGTTCAGCTTCTCTTTCTCGTTCGACTTTATCTACGGATGATGGAAGCTGAGGAGTAACATTTTTTTAGTTAGATGAGGTGGTGAGGTTGATGATTTGCCGGATTTTTAAAAACGTCATGGTTACTCAGCACATGAAGTCACGACAGATGCATCAAATCAGAAGATTCATTTACTTCGGGACCTTGGCATTCATCTATTATGATGATGATGTATATTGATTGTATACCAAAATACCAAAAGTGATTTGGAGATACGTGGTATAAGATGAGATGTAGGAAATGTGAAGCTGTTTGATTTTTTTAATTCTCGATTCCTGGGTTTTTTCTTGCACTGGGAAATAATACCTAGTATTTCCTATCTCCTATTTCTTTCATTCGCAAAATCTGTAGAGTACAAGTACTACAATATCTCCCGAAATATAAATAGCTCCATTTTTTTTTTCAGACGCCTTTGCCTATGTTACTCCTTTCATACATACACACACTCTCTCTGTCTCTCCTGCTCCCTCTGCATCTCCCACAATCTCACCAACCCTAACCCCAAAATCAAAGCACCTCAACCCCAAGGTATCTCAACCTCAGCCTCCACCTCATACTCTTCATCCCCATCCTCATCCCCATCCCCCTTCTTCTTCTTTTTCGCCCCCATCTTACATAAAGCTACCTTTTCAATTTGTACATCGCTCATCCATGTGAAATCGGCATATCGAGAGAGGATTTCTCGGGCGTCGAATTTTAGACGTTGGTGTTGGTGTGGTTTTTGGGTTTGTTTTTGATTTTTGGGGTTTGTGTTGAGGGGATTGGGAAGTTTGGGGGATTTTTGGTTTTGTTCGCTGAGTTTCTTGATGTCTTTTTCATCTCCAGTTCCGGTTTTAGTTGCATTTCCAGTCCTACTTCCAAAACTATCCCTCTCCCTCTTCCTCTCCTCCTCCCATACTCATCCCCTGAGAAACCGCATATCCATACCCATACCCTCGAGGAACATAAATCGTATTCATAATCGTCGCATGCAACAATAAATCCCTTTCCCTCTTCTTCTCAGCCACCACAAACCCAGCATCTACAAATCTCTCCCTAACTGCTTCACAGAAAATTTGTAGATGTTTTTCGGGATCTAATGGGGAGGTGTACAGGATACAGGTTGAGGAGGGGGTGTGCATGGAATAGAGGGAGTGGAGGGTTAGTGGGGGGAGGGGGAGGTGGGAAAGAAGGGACGGGGTTGTTGTTGTAGTTGTGGTTGTGTCTTGTGATGATGTCTCGGGTTCTTGGTCTTGGTCTCGGTCTTGGTGGAATAGATTGTTGAGGGTTTGGATGGCGACGGAAAGTTTGTTGGGGTTGGAGAGGTTAAGGATGTGGAGGGTTAGGTGGAGGGTTGAGGGGGGGCGGATGGCGGAGGCGGGGATTGGGGGGTGGGAGTGTGGGGGTGATTGTAATTGTGATGATTGTAATGGTAAGGGTGGCGTGCATTGTGAGGGTGAAAAGGGGGAAGCGCTAACGTCAGCTTTGAAAATGGAAAGGCTGGATTGGAGTTGTGTGCGTGAGGAGGGGGTTATGAGTGGAATGCAGAGGAAATGTGTTGGGCGGGGGAGGGGGGGTCGTTTGGGAGGCATGATTTTGAGGGGGGTTCTGAGGAAGGGGTGGTAAATGTATTGCCGTGGTGGGTATGCGAGGTTGGGATGGAATGGTGATGGAATTGAGTTGTTGATGTTGATATTGATGTTAATATATTAAAAAGTTTTTAAATGAGTTATTTTATGTTTTTGATATGTAGTAATAATGATGATGATATTGATAGTAATATTGATAATAATACCCCGTATTCTCAATCGACGCCAAATTTGATAATCTGATAACTTTATAATCTATATTCGGAAAAATAACGAGCTTATCAAAGTCTTCTAGAAAGTTAGAATAATATCATTTATCATTTATTATCTATTATATAATTATCACATCTCCCTGCATAGCTAATTAACCAAAACCATATCACATACAAATTCCATCCACTTCATCCATTCCATCCCTCCACATCCATTAAAAATACTACCGCAGATCTCCCGCATCAAAACCCCTCATTTAATAACTATCAGCATCTACTGCATCTGCATCCGCGCTTAACCATCTCGTCAAGTTCTCGTACTTCCAGGCAGCAGTTTAAGAACCTCTCATCTCTCTTTATTTTTCATAATTTTAAGCATTTGGAGAATTTTTTAATCAATGTGTTATACGATGGTGTTGGTGTGTAGGTAGGGAGGAGGTTGTTTTTGGGATTTCTTTTGAGGGGTTTGATTAATTGAGTGATTGAATGAGTAATTGAATGAAGATGGGGGACAGAGAGTGTTGGATTTGTTTCTTACTTCGTTTCTTTTTTTCTTCTTTACTTTTGCTTCTTCTCTTATTATAGTCTTAGAAGTGGTTATGATTAATATTATATCTATTTGTGAGGATCTCAAGAAGAAGGATTGGTGCTTTAATTTCTTGGTTGTCCTTCCCTACCATATACTAGTAGGCATTGATTATCCTCTTCATTTATATGCACGCTTTCTAGCTTTCTGCTTTCTATTTTTCTAATCGATTGTCGAAAGAAAATGATTGATTGCAAAATTGCATCTTGATTGATGATTACGATTTCGATCACTGAGCTACCTATATATTATATACATACCTCCATCTTAGCTCAGCAACGAGGTATTTCACTTCTTCGCCCAACATCTACGTACCTACGTACCTACGTACCTGCCTACCAGCTATACAAGTTCCTTACGGAAATTACGGTATTTGTATAACCGCTGTACTTATTACACACAAGATTACCCACACATACAATCTAAATCATTCATTCAATCATTTATTATATCAGTCAATTGATTAATCAATTATTCCTCTATTACCTACTTACCTACCCCCTCACCCATCTATAAAAAACCGTATCCTTCCTCCATTCCTCTCTCCACCCAAAACTCTGCAAAAATGAGCTCCAGAGACAGAGAATCCAGAGAAAAGAAACATTTGCCGAAATCCACATCTACTCGTATCGATCTTTCGAATCCGCTGGCGCATCGTGCTGCACCCACTTCTGGATACACATCTACATCTATGATGGCCGAAGATTACGATTTTTCCACTTCTAATTATATTCCTAATACATCTCAATCTCATCCTCAATTTCAATCACAATCTCAATCTTCATCGGAAATTTCCGCGCCACCACGCGTGCGCCTTTCACATCCACATTCACATATAAAATCTACAAATCATTCAACGGCTGAGTCATCAAGAAGTAGTAGTCCCATATCATCTAACCTACATCCTCGATCACGGTCACGATCACCATCACAATCACAATCACAATCACAATCACAAACACCCTCTCCCCCAATCCCACCTCAACACCCAAACCCCACCACCCACGAACCCCAAGAATTTCCACCCCTCTCCCATCCCTCCTCCCCCTCCCCCTCCACTCAAATCTCCACCCCCCCATCCCAACTCAAAACCCTAACCACCACCCTCCACCACACACGCGAAACCCTCTATTCCCTCCAAACCATCCACTCAACCCTCCAAAACAACTACCTAACCCTCGACACACAACACCGCCACCTCCGCTCCACACACGCCAATTGTCCGAGTAATTCCGAAGTGCAAAGTCGTATTGCAGCGCTGATGTTAGATCGGGATGCTTTCCGCGAAGCGTATAATGAGGCGATGGGAGAGATGAGGGGGAAGGATGAGGAGATTATGGAGTTGAGGGGTCAGGTGAGGGGGTTGAAGGAGTGGGTTAGTAGTTGTGGGAGGGGTGGAGTGGGCGGGGAACAGGTTACGGATGAGGTGGTTAAGGAGAGGATGCAGTGGATTGGGAATGCGTTGCAGAATTGGGTGATAATGAATTTTAGGAGGGGGAGAATTGGTAGGTTTGGTGTTTTTTATTATCTTTGGCACGTTTTTGCTATTTATTGCGAAGAGGGGTTTTCGTGAATGTGTAATGTGTGAAAGATGGGAAATGTTGTATTGATATTGATAGGCTGGTATAATTGAGTATTAATTAAACTGACTTGTAATAGATTTAGACAAAGCTCCGGATGAGGTACGCCAACAATTAGAGCAATGGGTACCCATGTACCAGCATCTAGCAACATCATCTAAAATCAACTTCATACAATCACTTGTATCAAGTCTATTAGTATATGATATCTTCCAAGCATATTTCATCGGTCTCCCAAAACAACAAGCAGTGGAGCTCGCACAAACCGAAAGAACCTTAAGTTCATATGGTAAGAAATACAATCCTAAATGTCCGAGGTGGTAAGCTGATGAAGATACAAAAGGTTCCGAAGATGCTATGAATCAATGGCGTTCCACCACTCTCGGAATATTATTAAAAGAAGCTCCTGAAAAGCTTAAATCCGATACGGCCACTATTGTCAATACATTCGTTGCGCAACTCAATAGTTTGCTAGATCCGATATGTGATGTGCCAAGTTCGGAAGCTAGAGACCAATCGCTTAAAACTATAATTCATAGCGCTATTGATCTTTCGCGATTATTGCGAGTTCAAAAGGCAGTATTTAGTATTATGATGCCGGTTATTGAAGGACACCAAAGACTGATGTTTGATGAGGAGAGAATGGAGGATATTGGGGGTGAGGATGAAGATACTTTGAACGAGCGAGAAATTAGCTGCGTGACGTTTCCTGGGATTGTAAAAGCTGGAGATGAAAATGGAGAGCGAAGTTATTTGGTGAATATTGTTGCGAAGATGAAGGTGCTTTGCGCACCTGATTGATGGCCAAGCAAGGCAAGCAAGGAAGGAGGAAAGTAGCATCTTCATCACCGATTACACGAAAAGGATACCCGCGGACGAGAGAGAGAGTGGAGAACTTCTGTCTGCTACGCTGCTCTGTGGTTCTTGTAATCATGCGATAAACATGGAAAGTCTTGAGTGATAGGTTAAATGATATGTTCAGATGGTAAATTCAGCAGGTATATTGGAAGAGGAGCGACAATTCCAAGAAACAAACATGTCTGCATGATACGTGTACATATCTAATATAATATCACATATGGTGGTTACACAGATACCGTGATTACCCGCGATCTTGGTCTCATATGCGTGCCAACAACGGTTCGAATTCAAAAGCGGGGTTGCTGAGGCTCTGCTGCTCACTAAGCAAAATCATTGGTAATTACGGAATATTGGTACGAAGCTTATCCAAATTTGCTGGATGTATTCACCCACCACTGTACATACTTGTGGCGAGTGTATTCTTGCTTTTGATTAGCAGTTGAATATATGCGTATGGTCAATGCTTCGCATTGATTAGTGATGATAATGTTGAAGTTTGATTTCCGAGTATTGCTCCGGGTAATCAATTTGCCCGCAATCACGCTCTTCAGGCCTGAACCGAGAGTATGCAGTACTACATACGTCGTATCGTGATCCACTGGAACTTTGCAGGAACTGAAATTGGCGATCATGCATGAACTCTGCGAATTCATTTATCGGTGGTAAGGAAAACATGTCGTGACAGAAGCCTCCTGAATGTGGAGTGGACGAGGAAAGGGAAAACTAGGAAGTATGTTTGCAAAAAAGCTCCGAGTCAAAAACCATGCTCCTTGTTGACCGAGTACAAACAAACATCGAATAGGAATGTCGAACACTTGCTGCCGTAGCTCAGTTGAGTTGGTTGTTGGTCTGATGATCTAGCGTTTCCAGGAAATGTTTTCCTCTCACCTCCTCGCTCGCATGATATTGTAGCTTTGTGTCCATTCAAGAGTGTGAATTCGCCATCAAGAAGCGGTGTAGGTGTTGCGTGGGTGAAGGAGTCGATAGACATGGTCGAACCTTTGAGGAACCACCAGATTTTCAGGGTAGACGGGTAGCTACTGGACATACCTGATGCATTGCTGCTCCAGCAATTTAAAATCTAACAATCGATTTGTCTAAGTCATGATCCCAAGTGTATGTGAACACCGAGATTTTGCTCATACTGGATCGGCGTGTAACAACACTCTTATTATCCTTGCAATTATATTATATGTGTATATTTTGACGTTGATGTGGATGTGTGGGAATGTTGGAATGTGGGAATGTAGGTCGAATATTGGGTCGATGGAACCATATGGTCGCGAAATGACGAATGAGAAAACGTTTCACTAGAAATGATTGTTTCAAAATCTGAAGACAGAGATGGGAGACGAAGGAAAGTGTCTTCCGAAAAGGAAATCGAACATGAGTCTCCAGGTTTTTTTGATGCATGAATTGAGAACTGAATGTTGGCTTGCTTCCTTAAATTGTGTCCCCTCCACGTTTGTTGCAGTGGTCAGCACATTGATCGATCGAATATCACACAAGCATCATCCTTTCCTCCTTTCCACTTTCCAGAAGACGAAGCACAATTAAAAAGAGGACCTTGATCTCCTTTTGGATGCTCTCAACTATAAAACTAAAGAAAAATATAAATAGTACATCGGTCGTCGAATGTTTTTAAAAAATCATTAGTGTTTGCCATTCGTTGTTTTGTTTTCGAGGGAGAGGCCGCTTGAGACACCAAAATCTGGGGAAAGGACCATATTTCGCGCTACTTCATTTAATCCCCGCAAATATTGCGAAACATCACAACGGAAACCGATATCTACAGTATCTATCCTTCACAACACAAACAACACCGGACTTCCAGGTCAGTTTTCACTGGAATTGTGTATAAAAGCTGTTTCCGCAGCTTTATATATATCTGCCACTATCATTGTCATTGTCATTGCCTTCAGTCCATCCTCTGACACTCGTCATAGTTAAGGGTTCATTCCTACTGATTGGCAAGACCGTCCTTATCTTATCGACGCTCCACTTTCTTTCATTGTCCAACAAATCCATCATCCTATCATAAAAGCTAGATCACTTATCCTCAAAGTGAGCACTCGCGAAGTTGACTTGCTGTTTCGCCCGCATTCGTGCAAAAATGGCATCTTGCGATAATCCAAGCATCTCCAGGTACCTCAATGACTCGGTAGATGCTCTCCCGGGTCTTCTCACAGGTACTCGTCGTACGAGCTTTCTTAGCATGCCATCTCTTCTTCGGGAATACGCAAATGGAACGCACAATGCCTCGACACTACCCATTACAAGTCAAGAGTCGGCATCGACGATATCTCCTTGCAGTGAATATGACGAGAGTGTGTTTAGCAGACAGTCAAATAAAACAACCACAACAATGACCAGTCGCCAATCTGCTCAGATCAACCCTGTAGCAGGATGGCAACTCCTGGTACCCCAAGCTACTCAAATCAATACTAATGTCGTCCTTCCATGCGAGTTTATACCGATAAACTGCGAAGTCTCCTTCCATCCGGACGATTTCGAGAATTGGCTTGCGCACAGCCTAACCCATTTCAATAATCTTCCTCCTCCATCAAAATGCTTCTGCATCTTCTGTGACGAGGAATTCGAAGAAGATGATCCGCATGATAATTGGAGGCGAAGGATGACGCACAGTCGCGACCATCTCATTGACGGAGAAACGAATATTCGCCCAGATTTTTCGATACTCGAGTATATGTGGAGCAATGGTCTGATGAGCGATGCGGATCACGCTTTGGCAAAGCAATATACCGAACGTCCATTAGTACATGGTCTCGTACGAAAGGGTTTTGTGACTCCTGAAGCAAAATACAAACAGGAAAGAGAGTCTGAAGTTCAGCACAATCTGCAAAAAGAGGAAAGAAATCGTAAACGTTCAGATCAGACGCACAAAGGCATCGAACATCAGAGGTCAACTTCATCAAGAAAGTATATGCCAGTATCCATCGAGCATTCAAAACACACTTGAGCTTTCTAGCTTGTCGCCTAGGCAAAGAATATTTCAAAGTCAAGGAGATGTTGTGAAACTAGCCGACTTTATATTTGTAATGCCGAAATATTGGAGGCTATGTTGATGACGAATTTTGCCACTGTTTCAATGTTTTAAATTCATTTCGTACTTGTGTTAGAGCTGCTGAATTTTGCTCTCACCGAATGAGTAAATTTATCTGTGGACACCCATTTCGATGCAGGTACACTAGGCCATGCGCCCTCCGGGCGTTATCTGCCTAACCTTAACCCAAAAAACAGAACACCGAGTGGGACGGACTCGGCCAATAAAATTTTGTCGATTGCGCAACGTTTGGGTTTATCAGACGTTTTGTTTTGCATCTCTCACAAATTTCGGATTTCACTATGCTGGTTCATGGTCGAAAAGAAAAGTCTCTTGAACGATTTTCATACCACAAATGTATTTCTTTTTCTCTTCCCTTCTATGAAACGATATTTTTATCTGCTTTAAATGTTTGGTTATGATGATGAACTATACTTCCCATGAGTTATGGTAGTGCCGTCATGAATAAATAGCACTTTACTTGCGTTTCCTGTATCATTCCAATCGTGCATATGTGCGTGGTTTGCTAGGCATCTTTATGATGGTAAGGCGTACTTCTCCGGAAAATGACTCGATGGGAGATATTATCTTATATTGAACCCTTTCCATGTAATAGTGCATATCGTTGTCCAACCAGGTGAAGCAAGCCAATCACCCACCAGTACTCATATGCGTTGGGATAGATTATATCACCAACAGTCATGCATATGAGTAGACCTGGTCATAAGCTATGCTATAGCCTATAGAGCGAAGAACCATATCTGTTGTGGGAAACCCGTCAATTTGGAAATTTTGAAGCCATCCCCAGCCTTCTAAATTGTCGCCTTCCCTACCATACCCAAGCCCTAAAATGAGAACAACAATAGTACTGACCCGTCTCATAGTTAGAAGCTCTCAAGATTTTGTGTTTTAATTTCAATAGTTAAAATTCGCATACCATTCTCGCACCAAATCGCAACCATGTCTGATGCTTCGCCCGGGTTTACATATATAGAACCATAGAATCATAGCCCCATAAATCATGCATCGAATTGATTTCCAGAAGCACTTTTAAAACATTCCCATGCAGTACCCTCATCATGCAGTGTAACATAATATTTCTTCCAATAATACCGTTTACCTGCACTACAAGGGTCATGATGTGTGGAAAAATAACTGCACAGCCTCACTCGTTTGCTGCGCGGCATTCGGTGAGCTAATCAGGCTTTATATGTCAATATAAGATTTTACTTATGGATTGATGGAGCATATATATGTTAGTGGTCGTTATTGTTAGGTGCACAATATAATATCGAGTAAATGCGTTAATGGTATGTAGATATGAATATATGCTTTCCATATAAGAAGCTTTGATCATTGATATATGCAGTTTTTGGGTAGGTTATTTTATGGATTCACAAGTGCTGTGATTAGTGATTATAGGGATGAAATAAGAAAGAGATCTTGTACGAGCTTTTTTATCTATTTATATATATATATGTATGTATATACTTCCATAATTTCTCTTTTTATCTTTTGCCTAAACTGTTGATTGAGCATGGCTATGAGAATTCGATAGGTACTTAGTGATCTCTATTCGGGCTCTTGTGATTATAATTAACCCTCTGGAGTGCAAAAAAGAAAAGAAAGGCTTACATCTCATTTATATCGTACACAGAGGTAATTCTTTGGCTGGTTAAAATCAATATCTTCGAAGTTCGATGTCCATGTGCGATTTCTCAGGATGAGTAAAATGTACTATGTAGATAGATGGATTGGTAGATTGAGGGAGATTTGTTTCTAGTTATGAGTACCTTGTATCTTGTAAAGGATATCTTTAGGCGTGATAGAGGGATGGTTTATTGGGTTTTTGAACTTTTTCGGGAAGAAAAAAGGGGGGGCTGTTGAAATGTAAGATTTGGGAATAGTTTTTTTATGTCCTTGTGATGAGTTGTGGTCTTTCTGGGGCATGTATAGTTTTATTTTATATATATATCCTCTTATTCATTCAGATGAATTTCAATAACTACTCCTACACGTATATAAGTGGAATGTTTTCAAGACTTTACTTGAGTACCCCTTTACTTTACTAAGGAAATATCTATATTAATGAGAATTTGAAAACATATTTCAGGGTTTTCTTTAAGCTTTTTAAATTTTTTAATATCTAATAAAAATGAATAATTAAGTTGAATTATGAATTTAATTTTGATTTTATATTATATCTTTTTTTAGTTCCAAATAAATAAATTAATTATTATTTAATTGATAATAGAAGAAATAAGAAAGTTTATTTAATAAAAAAGAATGTAAAAAAGTTAAGATTAATTGTAAATTTAAATTTGAGTAAAGGAGTAGAATAGGATGGAAATAAGGTTATGTAGAAAATAAGTGAGAAGAGGAAAGATGAAATAGGTAGAGATGTAGTAGAACTGGGAGGGAAAAGTTAGGAATTATTGGAATATAGTATAGTAACTAGTATGTAAATATATAATGAAACAAAATAAGTCTTATATCCATATGAGCATTGCTTGCTGTCACGATTCACCATTAAGATTGATGGTGTTACGATGGTAGCAAACTGATTAATTAGGAGAGCTTAGGCCTTGTGCAAACACGATCAGATTTCATCGAATTAGTATGTGATCTTGGTCACCTGAAGATCGTATGCGCACGCACCATCAGAAATCACGTGATAGGGAGCCCTAGGAGCTCCGTGCTCAACTTAGTTATCAATTAGTTTACCTACATTCTACTTGATCTAGTAACGAATTCACTTTCAAGTGAATACCAGTGATAAAGCCTTAACCCATAACTACCAACCGACGAACCTTAGGCAGCCGCTGCCTTTAGTACAGTATCGTTACACTTGCTTCCAGAGACATTATGATAGCTCTGGAACTTTGACCCTGTTAATGTGTAGAAATCTAGATGCTATTGGTATTGATCACTGTGCTGTAACTATAACTATAACTATAACTATAAGTGCTGTTTCTGTTCCTCTTTCTGTTATCAACATGCATATACTGTGCCAAGTAACAATGATATCATTCCCATACGATTCTCAAAAAGAGCATCGCTACTCCTCTCCAACACCAAGTCTTCCCACCCATTCTTCCACATAACTCTCCGCATCGATCCATCCACCAAATCCAGCACATTCTCGATATATATCCACACACCTCAATGAAACTCCACTTCCACCCTCCCATACCTACGCCCATCAACCTTCAACTCAAAAGCCAACCCCGCACTCTCCACCACCATCTCGAGTGTAAAATCCAAATTGAGAAATTCGACTCCCCTTGTCGTCGTCAATCTCGTATACATACTCTTTGGTACAGCGCCCAAATCCGTCGTTAGCGTGCACACGCCTATGAGATCCTTTGTGTCGGAAGCTGGAGGTTCGCCGTCAGAATCACAAGCGATCAGATCATCGGATACGATGAGTGATTGTCCTGGACGGAAATTACGCGTGTAGTGAAAGGAGACTGGAGTATCTGTGCTAAGAGTATCACCCTGCGTGGGGTTAGTCACGAAATAAAAAGGCGATGGGAATGGAGTATACCCTGTGAAGATGCCACTGCATCCTATCACTCACCATCCATCTTTCCCATAATGGACTCCAGTATCTTTCACTAACATCATGTTTATCCTCATCATAAACTGTTGCATACGAGGTTCCATAATGCATTCTCGCTTTCCTGGATACCACCACACTTCCTTCTAATCCTTTGAGAACGGCTCCTCGGACCACAGCAGTCCATGCATTTATAGGTTGCATCACCTCCACCGAGTTGCTTTCTGCTAAGGCCATAGATTGTGCGTGCGTTGGACGTTCGCTATAGGGTGGCGGAGCTGCGCTGTTAAAATGCGCTTTTAACCTTTTATATAGATGATTGCTTTGTCCAAAACCACCGACAAGTACGATACCAGAGACGATACCTCCTTTCCTTCTAATACCATCAACTTGGCCTTGAACCAAATCACACACCTCTTTTACAACTGGCTCAAAAATGTCTTTAACTTGAGCAGTTGTCATGATGAAAAATCCACAATCCAAACCGGCATCTATGTCATCTGGTAGACCTGGAAGAGGAATATTGAATTCAGTATTGTTGTCTTCATCAAAATCTCGTTTCACATATTCTTCCCAGTACTTTAATCCCGTTTGCCATGATTTGGCTTTCTTCATTTTCATCTCTTCAAATCGTTCGACCCCTATCCTACTCTTGCAATGTTCCTCGAATCGATAATTAAGAAATGCGCTCCCGCAAAGTCCTCCGGTACCTACCGCTGACTCTTCTACTCGCAGTGGTTTGAGAGATATAATTTTATAAGCAATGAGATCTACTGTGCCACCTCCGGCATCACACACCACAAAATTGTCACCGACTTGTAGGTGATTTGGTTGAATGGCTTTCAGCGTATAGACAGCAGCTGCTTCCGGCTCACTGATCATTTGGATGGCTGATTTGTCACCCATTCCTGCTCTTTCCGCAGCTTGAAGTGTTGTGTTCTTCGCCGCATCAGACCAGACCGCTGGACAAGTAAGGACAAACTCGACTTTCGTAGTTGACATGAATAATTCTCCATATCGGCGAGTTAAAGTCTCGATTGTGTGCTTATGAATTTGAGTCAAATAATCACTGACAGCATCAACAACGTTTTTGCTGTGCTCCTTTAGCAAGTTGGCAGTTTCAGCCGGACTGACGTAAAAAGGTAATTTTTGAGACCGGTCGAGAAATAATTTGATACATCGTAGTCGGGGTTCCTCAGGACGGAATTGACAACCCCATTTTATCGTTGATTCAGTCCCTGTAGGTGATCCTGGCGGTCTGGAGTACCCTATTTCCGTTGGAACTTTGTCGGATGTGATTCCATTACTTCCAGGCCAAGTTTTGATAATATCTACATCATCAGGATTAGATGTATATACAACAGCAACACTGAATTAATGTTAGTATTTGTGACAACATTTGGAATCGAAATTGTGACGGAGAAGCTTGTGTGGGCGCCAATACGAAGAAACCGCCATCAACACGAACTTTCATGAGATGAAGGTCCCTAAGACTGACCAAACACAATAGTCCCGAATCTTAAAGACTAAACAGCGCAAACAATAGAGCATCTGAAATAGTGTAATTATCAAAAGTGTAAGATCACGCTTTCGCGGTGCCACAAGTATCTTCTCAAGACAAGCTATAAAAATATACATACCCAGAATATGTTGTCCCAAAATCTAGTCCAACAATTAGTCTCTCAGTCACAGGTGCTGGCTCTCGTATTGGTCCGGCGATTACTTCCGTTGAAGAAGTAGGTGTGTGGTTGCCAGAGGTGTAATGATTCCGACTTTCATCGTTTCTCCGACTAGCACTCCTGACAGGTAGACTGAGATTCATGATGACCATTTATGATAATAAATGGCTCTGGTTTCAGGAATACACCATTCACGAAGGGTTTTCACCACGATGGTGATTGTGTTGAGCTAGGAGGAAGGTCGCTTGATGCCCCTCAATTGAGCCCCGCCAGATCCCAAACTAGCCCTTTGAGAAAACAATCAATAAAATGGAGAGGATCGGCTATTTGGTTTTGTTCCCTTTCCTAGATCTTGATCAGGAAGATTCGTGCCGACACTTCAGGAGGTATTGTAAGTTTTAGGTGCTTCAAGCGTGTGATGCTTTTCCGATGTAAAGCGTAAACGTGGAGGAATTAATGGCAAATGGCAATTAACCTTATATATATTCTTGACGGATAAAAGTATTTTTCGAAAGATATCCTATTGTGCTTTAAAAGACGCGCACAAGAAAGGAAGGGATGCAACAATGACGGGTCAAAAACAATACTGAGCAAGATGGGACAAATCAAGATTCCGCCATAGGCAGCAGGAAAATGGAATTTGGAAGCCTGAAGTAATACTGACGGATATCTCGGGATAGAGATGTTATTAAACCGGATCGTCGAATGCAAATAAGATAATTAACTTTTTAAGCCGTGTTAGGTATGATCGTGCTGAATGAAATTTATATAAAAAGTAATAAAAAAGAGTGATGTTTATTTTAAGATGATGGTGGAGTTTGGTCGTGCAGCATAAGGTTAATGTTAAGGTTTTGGGATGATTCGAGTTCCTTTGAACATCCAATCTCACCTACAAATTAGCCGCAATTCAGTGTTACATCAGCGAACCCTTTTGGATGTATTTCAACCCTCTTCAGGCTATCGTGACAGAATCAGATCAATTCCTATCTTGGTAGGGCTGAATATTTCAAAACTGGATCTTTCTGTGATACGACATCCAAGAATGGAGTTATGGGCATGTGGGTTTAATGCTTGGAATCAACTTCAATTCGATGGAGATCTTCCTGATGAACCTGAGGATGCTTTTACCTTCAAACGGATATTGGAAGCAAAGGGAAGTATCAAAATCCTTGGAACTTCTGTTTCTGCTTGTTTAGGTATGTTGATAAGATCTTCTTGACTTGTTGTATTCTATTCTAGAGAGGGGACTTCCAAACTTCTATCACGTGTAATTCACATGATCAGGCATGTATGTTGGGTTGTAAATGAGAATATAAATGGCTTTAGCTGGCAGTAGTTCTGGTTGGTGCTGTGCTTTACATTGAATTAGATTGGTTGATCTTACTTATATGGGCTCTTCCTTTTTCACTTAAATACTCAAGTTTGAAAGTCGAAAGCTCAACGGAGATTACAAGTGAGCTACAAGCTTCCACTCTTCCTTTATAATAGTGCAAAGCTTGGTCTATATAAGATCCTATTTGATATGGGATACGATCTTAAGGTATACATATAGATTGGGTCAGAATTTAAGGACACCCTTCCTACATATCGTTCCTAAGTTAACCAGACAAATGGGAAATATCGTAGGCTCGATACCTAGTTTGACCTTCTTTTTAGCATATAAATATGCTATCTCACCACGTAATATAGCTAATCCTCCTTTGATTTGTAGCAGCAATATCAAACGACCCTTCGAGCCCCGCTGAGGAAATCAAAGTTGCCGGTCATCCAGACGGATTCTTGCAGGCGCAACTCGAGCAGATAACCTCAAAGAATAGCACGCAAACCCAGCAACAAGGAACACACTCCAAAACACCAGAAGAGTATCTAAGAAACGCAACAACAGCAGGAAACGACAAGATAGCAGGTACTTCACAAACCCACCCACACCCATCCCTCCAATAAGACACTAAAAACCTTCAGAATCGACCCCAACAGAGCTAATCCAATACCCTTCACTCCACAACTACCTCACACGCAACAATCCAGATTTCGTTCTCCCCCTCCCACACATCACACAACTCGTATCGAACAGCACGACGTTCAGCGCTCTCACCAGCAAAGGAAACGTCTACACCTGGGGCGACGAACGATATCCCAGCTGTCTAGGACGAGAAATCAGCTTTTCGAATTCTGCCTCCGTGCCCACGCAGCTTTCATCCCTCTCCTCCCTCCCCACAGGCCCCATTAAAAAACTCTCATCTTCCGGCCCTCTAACCGCTGCTCTAACTACCGGACACGATCTCTATATCTGGGGGCGCACTAATATCCCCTCTATCATTCCCGAACTCTCATTCCCACCCCCTTCATCTTCCTCACCTCAATCTCCATCATCATCACCATCCCCCTCAAACGACTATGATCCCATACCCCTCGATATCCACGGAGCCGATATCCTCGATTTCAGCATCGGTGAAAATCACATGTTGGTGCTTACGACTGAGGGGGAATTGTATGTTATTGGGGAGAATGGGAATGGACAGCTTGGGCTTGGGGAAGGAGAGAAGGGGAGATGTGAGGAGTGGAGATTGGTGGATTTGTGTTTTGGGAAGGGAAGTAGGAAGAGGTGTGTTGGGGTGCGGGCGGGGTATAAGTGTAGTTTTGTTTTTGTGGAGGATGCTGGTATTTCGTCATAAAGTTGAGAATGAAATATTCGGTTTGCTTTCACATCAAAGTGAGAGCAAGGATTTGGAAAAACAGGCATTCGGTATGGTATCTCTGTGCTCATTTTGCCGTCTTATGCCACTCTATAATACATCATGACCTTGGGACTACGTTAAAGCTCATTGCTGTTGCAGAAGGAAAGAAAACTAGCTCATAGATTCGTAAGGTAATCCTCAATTTCTTGAGGACTCAGTTTTCTAAAACGTGGGCCTTGAGCACCCTCAACCCCCTCAATGCCCAACAGATGATCGGCTGGTGGTCCCACGATACCTAGGAATATGTTAGCAAAGTAATGTACTTATTTGAGTTGTTAAACTTGCCGATCTCTACTGTATCGCCATTCATCTCCCCCTCAATAGTCTCCTTCAACGTCAAAAGGGCAATGTGTACGGCATCTTCCAACTCCAACCCTTCGGTATATCTCTTCTCCAAGAAAGTCTTTGCAGAAGTAGCGTTCTTTCCGATAGCAGTTGCCTTCCATGGAAAGTAACTACCACTTGGATCAACTTGGTATAACATAGGTCCTCCCTTCAAAATACCACCGGTCTTGCCTGATGGTTTCTTCTCATCAGGATGTACCTCCGCACCAGCAACATCTTCTGACTCTGGCTCAATTCCATCATCCCAACCTGCAATCAACAAACTAACACCATATGGTCGTACACCTCCAGATTGAGTAGCTTCTTGCATCACCCTCGCAACATCTTGTACTAATATCCGAGTAGGTGGGTATTCGTTGTAGATGCGCTTGTAGCCAGTGTGAGATACTTTGCGGGCTTTGTCGACGAGTACGCGGTAATCAGGTCCCATGCCGGAGTAGACCATGCCGATGTTTGGAGTGATAAGGGAGACTTTTGAGAGAGAGGGTGGATCAATGAGGGTGGATGAGGATTTCTTTTCCGTGGCGAGGACAATGCCATTGGTAGCTCCCGATAAGTTAGTACAAATACGCAGATTTAGAGAGGATATATATGTACCTTTAATTCCCAATGCAGTAACACCTTGGTTGACGGCATTTAACGCATACTCTGTTTGCGACTTGGTTAGTACATAGAGCTGGTGGGATGTATTAAAAGGATAGTTGGAGCTTGGCGCATATCAGAATCGAGCTTCATTTGATAGTACGAACCTATTTGGACCAATTTCCCACTGCAAATGTTAGCAAAGCACTTTAATATGTATAGTATATCACATAATGGGAACCTGGGAAGCTCTATTTCAATCATACCTGGGGGAGAAGGTTGTCAAGGAGAAAGAATATCTATCCGCCATTGTATCTGTTTATTTAAACCTATCTTGCAGACTTTGAAGGTTCGAAATCACAGAGTAAGAATTAGCGGAAATGTAAAGTATGGGTGGGATGTGTAGAGTTTGAAGCTATATATTTCGGGGTAGTTGGACTTCAAAGCTACAGGCAGCTCAGGTCCACGACGCGATGTAAATTAGTGCCCTATATATTAGGCAGGAGATGAGCTCAAGCGCCAGGCATCAACTCGACATATGGGCAAAATTCCAAAGCCCTGCAGGTTTACGATATATCTCAATGAAAAATATACATTTTGCATTTTTTCTCACGGGTAGATGTTCTTTCCTTTATTCTCCGACGGAGATTTCAATCCTGATCATGTTGTATAGTAAGGAATTATTTTGGTGGTTTTTTAATATCGTCCTGGGTACTTTCCAAGTAGGTGATAAAGGTAGCTATGTTTTCTAGAAATGTAAGGAAACAATTTTCGGGGATTTTACTAGCGCGATCGTACAAAACGCACACCTCAGAAATCTGATTCAGATGGAAAAACAATCAAAACATTTTTCTCAAAAGCCATCAAGAAGCCACATCTCAACATTGTTGTCCATGTCTCCATATACTCTTCGTACTTCTTCATTGAAGTTTCCCTATGATTGATCTTATTAACTATCTGTTCACTAACTTTAGTACTGCAAACTTACAGCCCTTGGTGCATGGAACTTTCTCTTTGTTTTTTCCAAAGCCTGCTGGAGCTACGTTTATTTTAGTTAATTCTTCGGAGATCGGAAAATCATTATATGTAGCTTCATCATCATAACTTCGAGGCTTCATCGTACCTTCTCAATTCATCACCTAAAAAGAAAATCACAAAAGGAGAATCACAAAGCAAACTTACAAAAATATGTCAGTTCCAGTTACCTCATGGTCGTGGGGCAATATTGCGGAACAACTTGGCTCCCAATCCTCTGGCCAAAATCAAAACGGCGTACACACAGAAAACAAGCAAGCGCATCAAGAAGCTCCTTTGCAAGAACCAGAGCCGGCGCCAGAACCGGTACCAGAACCAAAACGTCGGAGATATTATCCACCCCGACAATGTCGAATATGTCTCGAAACCGTCGAGCCAACCTTCGAAACTCCTACCGCTGGCATAGCTTCAATTCTCAATCCAACACCTCGAGTAATGTACACGTCCGAAGATCCTGAGTTAGGCCGTCTAATGCGACCGTGCAAGTGCAAAGGAAGCCAAAGACATGTTCATGAAGGCTGTCTGACAGCCTGGAGACACGCAGATCCTCTTTACGGAGCACGAAATTATTATGAATGCCCTACATGTAAATTTCAATACCATTTTCAGAGAATCAAGTGGGGTCATTTAATTAGTAGTACATTCGCACAATTATGTCTGACTTTGGCGATATTGTTTGTGACAATTTTCGTCATGGGTTTCGTCGCAGATCCGATCATCAACTTCTATCTGGATCCGTATAGCACAATTCTTTCTTTCCCTTCGATGGGAGGGAGTGGTCCTGCTCTGCATATTGTGGAGACTGAGACAACGACTTGGACTGAGCATCTATTAAAGGGATTGGCGTCTTTGGGAATGCTGGGATTCGTTAAGATTTTCTTCGCAATGTCCTCATTCAGCTGGTGGAATATAAGACAAACTGGTGTGTTTGGAGGCGGCCGCGTTCGAGCTGGAACAGGTCGAAATCGTCTGGAGAATATCAGTTGGACGCTTGTCATTATTGGTATTGGCGCTTTCTTAGTTGTAAGTTAAGACCGAGCTATAAACCATAAATTCGCTAACAATCTTTAGACAGTTTGGAAATGGACCAGAACTTGGAGTAGAGCCGTGCTCGAGAGAGCTGGCGAGACTGTGATTGATGTTGGAGGTGATGATGCTGATGATGAAGAAGAACAAGCAGAAGCTACCGAGCGAGCAAACCAAGAAACTGCAAGAGAACACCCTCCAACAACTGTCGACCCTGACACCAGGAAAAGGCAGTGAGGGCATAAGAGCCTTTTCCCGCATAATTTATCAAAATCTTACCTCAATAGTGTTTGTATATCACTTTTCGTAACTGTACTCGACCATTTCCAAACATATCCATCAGGACCACATGTCCCAGGAGTACCAATCCTCTCCTTTTTTCCACCTTTCCCGCACATTCTTAAGTTGCCACGAGATCCTTCACAGTATCGTGCCAATTAGTCTTCGTGCGCAGAATAAGCCAACTCAGCTGGAGCCCAGAAATCCCGAACGTCTTGTTCTTCTTTTCACATACCGGCGGCCGCGAGTTTCTTGGTCAACACTCCCGCTTCTCATATTCGATCAGACTCCTTTGGAGAATGGTCGCATCGAGATGCTTTCTTTCTGATTCCTTCGCTGCGGCACTGGTTGTGGCTTTATGCTAGGATGGGGAATTAGAGGGACCGTTGATACATTCTTTTTTGGCTGCTTAGATGCTTGGGTGCTTAGGTGCTTGATGCTTTACATAGTTGGATAGTTGGGATGGAAGGATTTGGAAATAGGAAACAGGAAATGGGAAATGGAAACTAAGCGTGTGTTATGGTTGGGTTTTCAGGTTATGCTTGTTTAGCGTGATGTGAGATTTAGTTTGTGTTTTATTTTATTTTAACTCGAAAAGAAAATTTAAGGGGATTTTGAGATATTCAATTCTTTGGGTGATTTGCAAATGGCATGATGACTGCTTTCGTGTATAAAGGTATGTTAGAGAAGTAAATCGCTTCTATGATATTGGTTGTTGGGTCACCCTTATTAATGAGTTGATATTGTACTGCACGTTGAGCATCAAACGAGAGATGTTGATTTCAAAAGGCATGCATTTACGAATACCGAAAACCATTTCGTAAAGGGAAACTTCACAAACCGATATAGTCTGTATAGTCTGTATGGTAGGTAGGTAGGTAGAAGATGATATTCTCCTGTAGATGTCATATCATATCATATCATAATTACCACTAGATATTGAAAACAACTTAAGAAAAAACTCTACGCTTCACAAAAAGCAATATGAGCCTCCAAAACCTCCTCAGCCTCAAACTCCAACTCCGTACCTACACCTACGAAAAATACATATCCTTCCTTCAGTTCAAACTTCTGCTCTCCCGCTTTCAAAGTTCCTTTACCGCCCGTGATAACCATAATACTTGGACCTCCTAGCTTCTCAATGGTTTCCTTTTCGCCTTTTTTGAGCGCCATTGTTAACATGTCGAATTCACTCATGGGTGGTGCTAGTACTTTTGTTTTTCCATTTTTACCTTTGGGGCTTGATGTAGGTTTGAGGATACATTCATCTTTTCCGACGGGAGAAAAGGTCAGAGCAGCGCTGAATAATTCGACAGAGTCGCGGTCGGCGCGGGGACAGAACCCGCTGTTTATTACGTTGTCGGAGCGAGCCATGCATTCTACAATGTCGCCGGAGAGGTAGGCGTGGATACCGTCTGCGGGGACGTAGATGGCGTCGCCTTTTTGGAGGGTCAAAAAGTTCATTGTGAGGAGAGCAACGAGGTTTCCTGGGTCGGAGGCGGAATATTGGGAGGCGAGACGGGGGAGAAGCTCGGGGATGTGTGATGAGGTAGGGAAATCTGAAGAAGGAATTTCTTTGAGGGCGTTGTAGATAGATGTTACTTCTTCATCTGAAAGGGTGAGGATTTTGTGTACGATGAATTTCAAAGTATCTTTATCGATGGTGTCGGAAGGGGAGGTGAGGAATTTAGAGCTCAGGACTGGGATGCTGGTGAATAGTGATTGGATTTCAGAAAAAGGTTTCCAGCCAACGAATGTTTCGAATTTTCCAAGGGGAACAGCGATTTCTGGTTTGTGGTTTGGGTCCCCAAACTTCTCCGGGTCTTGTTTATGCAGCTTGGCTGCAAGGTCCTTGTCAGGGTGAATTTGTAGAGGCAGAGCTTTGGCTATTGAAAGAATCTGAGTTTATGGGGTCAGTATGGATATTCGCAGATAATGGTGGTAGGGAGGAGGCAAGTACCTTTGGTAAATATGGTAGATCTGCTCCGAACTTATCAAGAATTGGTTTTCCAATCAGCTTCTCCTTATTCGCATTAAGATGTTCCTGTAAGTCTTTGCCGTTTGACAAGATGAGAGACGGCGTAGTTGGATATGTCCCCATCCACATCTCCGCGTACTCTTTACTCTCATCGAGCTTGAATTTGCCTCCAGGTGTAGCAGCTGCATACTTTGCTGCTAGAGACCTATTGCCTTGCTTGCCCCAAGGATAATTGTTGCATTGACATTCTAATTGAATGACTGACGAAGATCCGGACATTGTGAATGACTTTTTGGATGAATATGTAGGCTTCTTTTCGAAGATACAGTTCTTAGAAATATGCGGAGTGTGAAGAAAGAAAGACAGTGATCAATGGTTATAACGAGTATGAAAATTAATACCTACCAAGCTATCTGAGAAAATTCCGTATTCTTAGAGTTGTAGCGCCCCGGAGGTGTCTCCCATACACTTACATACATAATGACGTTGAAATTTTGATATATGTGGTTCGCTCGATCTTTTGTTGTTACATCATAGTAGGATACAGAGAGTAGGAATTTTCTGTGGATGTGGTTGATGGATGGGATTTTGAATGTCCCGACCAACCGAAGAACAACTGAATTACTAAGTAGCTGGTTCCGCATCGCTTGTCTTCCGGACCTCCACATGCTCGATGCATGGCACAGAAGCTTAGGTTGTTGTTGGCAGCCATGGCAGCACAGGGCATGTTGAGCTCTATTTATGAGACCCAATCAAAAGCTTCAAGTGCCTATTTCGTATGGATGAATGAAAGTTGGCCAGGTGTTGAAGGAACATCTAGCTAGATGGGGAGAAGCGGTCTGGATTGAAGGGTCTTATCCTGTAGATCATTCATTGGGTGAGTGTGGTGAGATCTCTAGTGCTTTTTAGAAGAACTCAAGTATATATGTTGAATATGTATGAATATCGACGGTCTATTGAGCTACCCCTAAACTTTACCTAGAGTGTATTGTTGTAGATTCCAGATTCGTTCACAGGTATTTGAGAAGAGGTATCCTCACCCGTAAGGTAGCAGAACAATGGATGGAAGCGAGATGGATGAAATATGGAAAAATAATCTAATCTTATTTTCTGCACTCTTATCTCTTATTCTCATCAAAACTAGAAGCCACAAGGATTGAGATTTTGAAGTTTAATTACATCTCATCTAGAGTGAGAACGGATGAGAAAGGTTGAAGACTTAAATCGATTATTTTTCCCCCCTACAACTTCTAGGTTAACCAACTTCGAGCCAAGAACAAATTTCTCTAAAATAACATATTCTGGTTTTTATCACAACTGCAACAGCACCTTCTATTTACTTCTTGTTGTCGCATTAAGTCACTGTTGAAGAATTCTCTTCATGATCGAAATGCTTCATTATTTTTTGTAATAACCTTTAATCTCGATTCCCAAAGACCCTGCTACCATCTGCTCGGTATATCAATTCTCCACTCAACGCGCCAAGTGTCCACCACAAAGGTCAAATACGAAAGGACACAGCGCAACAATCTCACCATCCTGTGCATCGCGATCAATTATTAAACAAAGTCCCGTACGACGTTGGGGCTACAATTATTGGCAAAAGCTGTAACGATTGTAGCAAGTGCCTGAGGGGCCCAGTACATACGACACATAATGCATTTGGCATACCCCTCGAGGAAAGCCTCGAATCCTCCGGCATATCTTGCGCCACGGTCTTCTCGTTTCCCAATGCTACGCAGAAGTAGGGTGAAGACGATACTTTTAGCTGCTTGCGCCATAGGGGCAGTATTCTTTATACTTTCAAGTATACTTGGGGGAGCAGATAGAATTCCATCAGGGACTCCCCCAGTTGTAATTGTCACAGTATTGGATACGGTGGGATATAGTAAAGAATATCAGGACAGCGTAAAGGAGAATCGAATTCAATACGCCAGGAAACATGGTAAGCAATTTCCATGCGAATGGCCAGATCTCACTATTCTGGTACTGGAGCAAGAACCAAACTGATCATTCTTAGGCTATGCAACATTTTTCCCCAGCATTGGAGACTATGATGTTCAAGGATCGCCAAACTCATGGTCCAAAGTTCCCGCTGCACGACACGCACTATCACAATTTCCACATAGCGAATACATTTGGGTTTTGGAGCAGAATGCCCTCATCATGAATCCTGCGCTGAAAGTCGAAGATCACATTATGGAACCAAAACGGTTGGAAAGTTTGATGATCAAGGACCAATCTATTGTGCCTCCCGACAGTGTTATCAAGACCTTTCCAAATTTAAAAGGAGGAAATGTTGATTTGGTCCTCACTCAGGATAAAGACGGTCTGTCGCAGGCTAGTTTTATCATCAGAAAGGGGGAATGGAGTAAATTCTTCCTCGATACATGGTTTGACCCTCTGTATCGTTCTTACAATTTCCAAAAGGCGGATACGCATGCATTGGTGAGTGCTCACGTCTTTGAGAAGGTTCGATATCTAATATTAACTAGGAACACATTGTGCAATGGCATCCAACGATCCTGTCGAAGTTGGCACTCGTGCCACAGAAAATAATGAACGCATACAATTCGGATGATGCAGATGGATATAAAGATGGGGATTTCGTCGTCCGATTTCCAGGTTGCGACCAGTCAGGACGAGACTGTGGAAAAGAGGCCGAAAAATACACAAGACAATGGCGGACTGTCTTCGCCCAACGATGATCCATACCTTTACTACGATAATTCTTCCAATCCTCATTAACAGCATATAAGAATACTTAGGGCTATAGGAAGCCCTTATGATCTACGAATAGCGGGCAAGGCGTTTGTAGGCGTACAACAGCATGAAGATAAATGTTTGCATAAATGTACAATACCGGCGAGGACGTCTGTAGTTACATGGATCTCGTTGAGGCTGGCAGGTGTAGTTTTCTGGGGGGTGAAGTAAGACTTTGTCTTCTGTATATTATTCGAATCCTACATACCCCAGCTGTCAATAGTATTGTTCCCTCAGTACTTGCAAAGCTCGTCGATATGATTTGTGTTCTGTCATATGAGGGATGATGGGGCACGACAGTCTAATTAATTCGATGCATTGTCATTCGTCCGATTTTGATGACCTTCAGTATATCCATGTAGCATCACAATATGAATAATTGGTAAAAATCTGTCAAAAAACAACCATAGAGAGAACGTCCAAACATCATGTCCACTTTTATATGATGATATATTGATATTTTAGATCTTATCAGGCCGTTCGAAATAAATTTACATGGGCAGGCCGGATAATGAGCATAAAAGAGGCCAAGCATGTGATGAGTAACATCCTCGGCATCTCCAGTGAATCAAGGAAAGAAGAAACACCGATGCAGACGAATCTTGTCCTTTGGCACTTTATTTACTCTTCAACTCCAACTTTTTATCTCCATTCTCATCACTCACCGATCCTCCGTCCCACAAGATGCCCGGCAGTTCGAGAATGCCCGTGAGCTTGCGCAATAGCTTCACCGTCGCAAAGGGTTCTTCAAGTAGCAGCCAATTACTGGCTCTGAATATTGATATGTATGTACCTACTTGTTCTATGTTCTTGGACCCACCGTGTATGCGATAAGCTATACGATGTGTTTGTATATTGTCAGTGATGGAATAAAATTTACTGATCTTGTCTCTAACATTTAGACTTCGAAATGCCGTATTCTTTTTGTTCCTGCTGAGATGGACGAGGAAGTGCTTTTTGAAGTTGAAAGGACGGGGAGTTTTTGGTAGTTTCACAGACGCATATATTTCGGTTCGCAGGACACTCTATGGATTATTCTTACGAGCACCCGGCGTGCGATCTCAAGTACAGAAGCAAGTCTCTGAGGCAATTACGAAGCTGCAAGGGAAGTTGGTACCGACTGGGCCAGGTGTGGTACGATATCTGACGCTGCCGAAGGAAGGATGGTCTGAAGAGACGGTTATGAAGGAGTTGGAGGTTTTGGCCAATATGGATCATACCAGATGGGAGGACGGGTTTGTCTCGGGTGCTGTTTACCATGGAGGAGATTCGTTGATGAAGATACAAACGGAAGCATTTGGAAAGTTTACAGTCGCGAATCCTATTCATCCGGATGTTTTCCCAGGAGTGAGAAAGATGGAGGCAGAGATCGTGGCGATGGTTTTGTCGATGTTTAATGCTCCTCCAGGGGCCGCCGGTGTTACGACAAGTGGAGGTACAGAGTCTATTTTGATGGCTTGCTTAAGTGCTAGGCAGAAGGCTTATGCCGAAAGAGGTGTAAAGGAACCAGAAATGTCAGTAGATCCATGGATATGCCATTCACATTTCGATACTAATCAATGTTTAGGATTCTCCCAGAAACAGCACATACAGCCTTCCGCAAAGCAGGTCAATATTTCGGTATCAAAATTCACCTCGTCGCTTGTCCCGCTCCATCTTACCAAGTCCATCTTCCAAGCGTATCTCGCCTCATCAACAGCAACACCGTCCTACTCGTTGGCTCTGCTCCAAATTTCCCTCATGGGCTTATGGATGACATAACTGGCCTTTCCAGGCTCGCTGCCAAACGCAAGATCCCGCTCCACGTCGATTGCTGCCTTGGATCATTCCTTGTTCCTTTCCTCGAGAAGGCCGGATTCGAGACCGATCTCTTTGACTTCCGTCTTAAGGGTGTTACAAGTATCAGTTGCGACACTCACAAGTATGGATTCGCACCCAAAGGTAACTCGACTGTTCTCTACCGTACCGCAGCCTTGAGAACCTACCAATACTTCATCTCTCCTGACTGGTCAGGTGGTGTATATGCCTCTCCATCTATCGCCGGGTCTCGTCCTGGTGCTCTGATTGCTGGATGCTGGGCTTCCCTCATGAGTGTTGGGGAAACTGGCTACATCAATGCCTGTGCCGAGATCGTCGGAGCTACCAAAAAAATCATTGAGGCCATAAACGAAAACCCCTCTCTCAACGGCGATCTTCATATCCTCGGTAAACCACTTGTTTCCGTTGTAGCCTTTACATCCAAGACACTCGACATTTACGATATCGCTGATGCCATGTCAGCAAAAGGATGGCACTTGAATTCGTTACAAAGTCCACCGGCTATACACGTAGCCGTGACCTTACCAATTGTCAAGGTGAGAGAGAAGTTGATCGAAGATCTGATAGCCGTCGTCGAAGGAGAGAAGGAGAAGGAGAGAGTTAGGATTGTGGAAGGTAAAGGAGCGAAGGGAAAGAGTTTGGGAGATTCAGCAGCCTTGTATGGAGTTGCGGGCAGTTTACCAAATAAGAGCGTGGTGGTTGAATTAGCGAGTGGATTTTTGGATACCTTGTACAAAGCTTAATGAGTTTATTGTTGGAAGATTTCGGTGAAGACTTGGAGATTGAGAAGGGGTACACAACATTGTCTTGGAATTTTGTAGATACGAGGAGCATGTGAGCGATATTTTACTACACCCTGATACGGGGCTTTTTCAATAGTATTTCTATTTATACCCTAGTGTGTGGTTCACATTGCTCTACTCTAGAAACTAGATTGGAAGAAACATACCTTTCTCAAAGATATTTATATCACCGCATCGATCACTGCATCAATCGTTCAGTCAAGTATACACCAACATAAAATCCACCAGCGTCCCCACGGTAAAAAGCAAGTGTCTACCTACCCAGACTGGACTTTCGTCTACATTTCATTCAAATACTTCCACACATACGAGTATTGTCCTATCCTCTTCTTTTGTTCTACTTCATTATTTTTATCCTCTCCTTCAGCTTGTTCCTTCATTCCTTCATGAACTTTTGAACTTATAAATGTACTTTGTTAAACCGTATAGATTCATGAAATTCGGATCCGTGGGTTAGTGCTATGTGGGTGCTAGGGATTTGTTATGTAGTTTGGTTTTGGTTTTGGTTTTGGTTTTGGTTTTGGTTTTGGTTTTGGTTTTGGTTTTGGTTTTGGTTTTGGTTTTGGTTTTGGTTTTGGTTTTGGTTTTGGTTTTGGTTTTGGTTTTGGTTTTGGTTTTGGTTTTGGTTTTGGTTTTGATTTTGATTTTGGATTTTATGAAGGGATGGAGGGATGGGAATGAGGAGGTGCTTGTTGCGTGGGAAGACATGGGATTCGTGTGGCTGGTTTTTTCTTCTTTTATGTTAAGGATGCTGGATGCTGGGATACAGTTATTGAAGCAGGGAGTAGTACTTCCTTTCTAGTGACTCTAAGTAGACGTTGCATTTTGCTGGAAAAGATATGCATATATGTGCCTGTCTGTGGAAAGGAGTTCATGGGGCTGGAAGAGATGGAAATATTTACAGGTATGCCGTGTATCTGATGCTAAAGTACAATCAAATTATCCTATTTAATCCTATGGAAAAGGGGCTTTTCTTTTGCTACTCGCTTTCTATATTCAAGTTCCCTCGAAGATACGTTGTCAGTGGAATATCCTATTTGCCAAGCTCTCTCGTAGACTTTGAACGTCCTGAGAGTAGTCGGCACTGTAACTGGTCGGGAGTCGTTCTTACCCTAATTATCGCTCGAATCCTCACCCGGGGAGGATTCGATTTTAGCTGAGTGTTGCAAACTGGTAGTTTAGGACTGTCGTCGTCGGGAGCCTAGATATTTGCGAGGCTATGGTGTGAATTGAACAGTTTCTCCGTTGGTCCTTTGGATTAAGCTTTCTTCACAGCAATGTTTTCATCTTGCCATCTATGTCTTTCTGATTTGATGTTTCCCATCGGCTACGTGAGTATCAACGACAGGGATTTTCATGCAGCGCTAAGGACCAGTGCGGGGAGATCTGATTTCTCCTGTTAAAAGTCAATCGGTTAGACATGTTCCCCAAGTTGCCTTCTTTGGAAGTTCACTGCATACCATCTTGTCGTTGCCCTTGATAGTTAACTTCTGAGATACTACCCACGATACGTAGTAGCCATGACTAAGCCTTAGTGCTCAGGTTTTCCAATCTCCTTGGCTTTTTTATAATCTCTTGATTGGGACCACGGAGTTCATTATTGTCTTTCAGAACTCCTTTAAGTATTTGGCATCGGCTCCTCAGCATCAATATCTATCGCCGCGCTGACTGATTCTGAGAACTTTTTCCAGACGCGCAGCTGCTTCTCCTGTGCCTGGCCAGTTCTTTTATACAAGCGCATATATGCATTGCTGAGCTGTGAAATGCTGAACTACCCAATAGCTATACTGCACCGTACACCATATACGGTATTTCGGCAATTTTCCAACGATTAATATTAAAATAGGTACGAAGCCATTGCCATGTATGTAAAACCTGGAAGGGACAATCACATAGGGGCGCATAGCGAAAGATAAGGTCAACTGTACATCCAGTTCGTCATTGATTAACAATTACTGAATTCCTGCAGAAACTGCAAAGCTTGAGGTAGTGAACTACTTATTGCACTAATTGTTCTTCTCTATTCATTGAGGCCGTCTTGAAAAGTACACCTGTGCAAATTTACCAAGTGTTTACATTGATTGTGGCAATCAACCTCGAATCCTGGTAGAGCATGCGGGTGATGGCATTGAAGTACTTTACTCGAATACATGAATTTTCTTTCGTTGCCTGAACTCAATGTGGATTGTATCGTTGGTAGTATCACATCGTGGTTCGAACAAATCAATCGAAAATATCCGGAGGTGAAGAGATTTCGTCAGATTTTAAAGAGAATTCAAACTTTGGTAAAGGTTGAGAAACATTATTAATGTCTTTTCCAAAATCGTTACACTAAAGGGTGTCCAAAATGTTGACGCGGATATCCAAAACTTTACTCGATATTTGTCAGCCAGGGCTTTCCTACAAGTCGTCTTCAGGTTGACTCCGAACGATTGCGGGGGACTAGATATTGCGATCACACATCTTCCCCACGTCATCACGTAATCATACCAGAAATATAGCCTACTAAAATGGCTGCATCTCTCTTCCCAGTCTACTTGCAGATAATGTTACAGTATACACTACTGTAGGAATTAGCTAGAGCAGGCCTTTTGGGATGATAACATATCTTGACGAGTTATCATGTACCGTTTGCAATGCTTGCAATTTACCAAAACGGACTCGTTCTATTCCAGTGCTCGCTCTGTGCTCGTAGTCCGCAGCATCTGCTGGTTGAACTGTCTTTTAATGAGGCTAATCAGATATCCATTATCTACGTATGCGGCCATCCAAAATGCATCGGTTAGGCAAACTGCTCTATGAGCTCGTCGAGCAGCGATAACGGACAGTCCTAAGATTTTGCGAGCTGGCAGCAAACAATGTGGGAGGCAGCTAAGAAAAGGGAATTGAAGATTGTGATTTTAACTCTTTACTAGGTTATTAAAAAATAATCATGGGGCAACCTACAGTAATAGATCATGTGTATATGGTAAATGGCCTGGTTCGTCGATATTTCATTATGGATGATTAAATAATACCATTGAAATCCATTTTTGGATTCTACCTTTGGTGGTTGTTGAAGGTGATTTTTGGGGTCTTCTTGTGACGGCTCGGAATTTAAGCGTTGAGGAAGCGAAGGTTTCTCGGGTTAGTAAGGGGTATGTGCATGCACGAGCTTGAGGTGGATTTAACTCATTTGTTCCCCGATGTTCCATACCTGATCGACTGCTATTTACTGGGTGTTGTATAGCCGGAAGTACCTAGTGTTTTGATACTGGCCGATCACTGGTTGAAATTAGTGCTCTCTAGATCTCATGGGAAGTGACGAGGGGGAAGCAACTCAAAGCTGACGGTTATCTCTTTTCACAAGCTTCATTTGACGGCTTTGACAATCATTATTTTGAAAGCGAGAGGATAATAGTGAGGAAAATGACATTTCAGACGTTATAAAGCGTCTCTTCTGTCTTGTCCATTGTGGAGAAAATAGGTAAAATTTATTAGTAGCGTTTATGAATTTTGAAGAGATGAAGCGTCTCAAATTACCTCTACATTAGTTCGTGACGTTCTAATGTATTATATATTAATTATGGATGTGACTGGGGAAGAGTAAACCGAGGATGAGTGTCCGTGACTGGTAAGTATTAGTCGCTATCCTGGACGAATAGAATGCATGCTCGTTCAGGTATGATTTACTTCTTACAAAGTCAAATATTGGCTCTTTTTACTGAATATTGATGCACGCACCATGTTAGTGCTTGTATGTTACGCCCGGATGGCCGAGAATCTTTGTTTATATACGCTGCCTATTCATTAAAGCAATTTCCCTCTATCGTCTCAGCACCGATAGGCGAGGAACTATATTCATTCAAAACCCAACATAGATCTGAACTTCAATGAGAAAGTTGGTTCTTAGTCTGCGCTTCGGTGACTGTTTGACGCACTGGTCAGAATTTAACACCAACAGAGGTGGTGCGAAATATCGAGCAAGAGCTGGAATACGGCCGATACAGACCAACATCTACCCAGGAATAGAAGCTATGAGATATATTAAAAATTATCATTCCATCAGCTGTTGCAGTGGTGAAGACTCGGTAACTGCGCCTCAACCTTCAGACAAGAAGTATACCTCATACATTCAGACATACTAATAACGGAGCAGTTGAGTCTGAATTGAGCAGGCACGGATCCATTTGCATATAAATGTATGGACGTAAGTATATATAAGTAGGCAGATGCATAGAAACGAATTTTTATAGGATTCGAATCCAGCGGGGAAATTTTAACCCTAAGATCCGCGAATATATCTTCCTTTTTTAGGGATGGAGATTTGATCTGTTACTTCTCTGAGTCTGATTTGCTTTGGTATTCACTCACATCTAAATATATATGCTTCTGCGTGTGGCTTTCACATATTTCTCCTTCATATTTTGCCTACATGGTTTGGTATGAAATTAACAATTGCTATTTGATATGTTTCATTCTTCTATTAACAACCGTATATTCCCATCTCATTTGATAGTAGCTATCAGAAACTGTTGTGGTCGACGATCTGTTCTCATTTTCTTTACCATAGTTTAATTTTTATATAGTATTCGAAGAGAAAGAATAAGCACGCACCGTGGCCTGGTGAAAGTTACATTTATGTGACACTCACTACACAGACACACCAGAGCAGACCGAGCCAATCTTACATCAATACAAACACATCAAGACTCGGCTTTCGTTTAGCAACCCTCGAAACACAAAATTGGCGCTTTTTCAACGGGTAGAACTACACGGAAACTAACCTTCTGCTCTTCCTCCCATTCTCCACACGTGTCCCGGCCCTGGTCCGCGTATTTTTTTCTTACCTTAAATCTTACACAGTGCCAAGTGTTTCAGATCAGTCGCAAAATTGCAATAGAAATCTTGGAACCGGAATTTTTCAAATTTGCTAATTTGTTAGGGCGGGAATTTGGTGGTTCTTGCGGAGTTGCTAGTAATACGATCGTGGTGCTATGTGAAGGAATGTAGGGATCTAGGAGTTGGATATGAGATTGATAATTACATGTGGTACTATATCGGGTAATAATTATTGCAAGTGCAGTGGTTGCGGCTAGGTAGGCCAGGCATGGAAGGTGGTGAAACTAGAAAGTCCTCTTTCTTTACCTCGTTCTCAAGACCCCATCCTCTCTCCGCTTGAACAATTCCGTGAAGTTCAATTAACTGAGCCACTCACTAGCTCCGTACTAGATCATGTTTATCTCCAGCTTTGCCTCCACTAGCATCTATGTCATGGGCATTTTCAGTCTTCACCTATGCCATCGATCACCACACATCCTTTTCTGATATAATCTCCTTCTCAGTCACTATAATTCAAAAAAAAAAAATATGAGGCTGTGATCTTAGTAAACTAGTCATGCATTCGATTGGGACCGGTGGATATATTACTCCAGATGATACAAATATCTCTATGACGCTGTGAGGTGTTGAGGAGTTGTAGTTCTGTTTCAGAGAAGATATTCGGTGCATGGGTGATAGAGAGGAAGTTCGGCTCATGTTATACTAGATTGTGTGTGTCCGTTTTTAGTCTGTATATATATACACTAAACAAAATTCCTCAAGACCCTCGTGAAGCAGTGGTACAATAGCTACGAACCACACTTATTGCAATAAGATATAGAAATATCTCTGCAATATTAGACTTTTGTAGGAGTACGGAATGATGTTGATGTGAGAGGCAAGTGAGGAAGAACAAAATCATTTGAGTCAGAGTTTTGTGGTATGCAATGAGACGGTTTGGAAAATAGTATGGAGAAGGAAGGGAAAATGGAGAGGAAGTTGCGATGTTTAGCGAAAACAATAAAGGGGAGGGGGGGCTTATAAAGCACATACTACAGGCTAAAGCACAAGAACTGGATCCACAAAAGCAAGCTCCAGTATAAAAATCTAAAAATAAAACTCTATCTCTTTTCTTGACCATCTTCATTCCGCCGCCAGTATATACATCAGACCAATCTCAAAAAGAACCCGATCGTCACGCCATTTCAATACAATAACAAATTCTGTCACTTCTGTAACATACGACCATAGACTGAGGAGAATTGGGCATCCCGTCCGCTCTGCCATACACAAGCCTCAGATCGGTAGATCAGTAGTTGGGTGGGTGACCACCAGCGAATCCCTACTGTTGTATGTGACATCTCTTTTTTGCACTCCTTGGTCATAAGGTGCGGTGGGGTTCGAGTGAAATGACGCCGAAAACGCGTGTTTAGAAAGATGTGTGGAGGAGAAATAAGTTGGGCAAAAGGTGCTGTACTCTGCTGAAGCTGTACCAAGTTGACTTTTTTGAAGGGTTGGTGTTTTGATAGGTGGTATGGAGGGTGACGAGAAGATGGAATTTTTTGATAGACGCCACAATCAAATAAGCAGCATTCTCTCGAGTTCTCAAGTTTAGACACCTGAAATGCTCGAGTAGAAAATGTAAAGAAAAGAGTTTTTGTGTTTGGTTCATGAAGGAGCCTGCCATCTATTTCGCTCAATTCTTCCTTTGTAAGCGAGCTCATGGACTTCAAGGGGATATGTCTTACAATAGCTTTAAAATTGAACAAAACGTTCCATATAATGTTCCTGTACAGATAAGATTATGATTTAATATCTCATCTCAGGTATTAGATCATTGGGAATTGTAAAGTCTGTATCAAATGTTCGATGCTTTCGTATGCTCATGGATTTGATCGAAAGAAAAACATACAGTACCTTTTCACTCATGATTAACTCTAAAGGATGGTTTGAATACCTATCTAAGTCTTCCAGACACATAGTACAAATAACCTCGTAAGAAACAAAACCAAAAGAATGTCTATTCCAGACTTGGAAGTGCAATTTAACATAATAACCATACGCTTTCCTTCTGATCATCCCGATGTTCAGGCTGTTTTTGATATATATCTGCCTACTATCATATCAAAACATTGATTCAAATATTCATCCGAGGAAACTTTCACTCTAGTAAAAGAGTAAAGGATTATTACACGGAATATTCCATTTATATCCCTATCTCTCGACTTCGAGACCTGTCTAACAGTTTGTCCGCAAGGTTAATTCGGTACCATCCCAACGTTCCCTCCAAACTCAAACATCAAACATTAACATCGAATATCATTTCCCCATCAAATTCTCCCATTGTGCCTGACTACTTCGGCAGTACCTGACTACATAGGGAGTCAGAAGTTATGAGTCAAAGCTTACTTAGTAACTTTCCGAAATCCGAACCTAAATATTTAAGCTCTTTAATACTCGAGTATAATATTAAACTTAATAGACTGTGGACTAGGTACAGAGAAAGTTAAAATAGAATGTTGTTTAACCTTATTGATATAGTAGATGAGGTTAACGTTGACTAGTATCATTCAATATGAGTGGTGGCAGAAGCGAAAATTATCCTAATTACTAGGTAGTGTTATACTATAGTATCAGCTAAATATAGTCAGATATGGCAGATACGGACGGTAGTTTATAATGCGAGTTCTAGACTTGATATTATTTAATAAACAAACAACGTTAATCACAACTTCCCATCTCAAAAAAGTGACAGAAAACGAACATCACAATCAAAACCACCTCAATTATATATCCCAAGTAAGAGCCGCTTTTCTTTCTACTAGGTTAATATTACCGGAATATTGAGAATTTGGGAACGCCACCAACCAGCCAACCAACTTATCAAATAATCAGCCATCAGTCACAGTCATCAACCTCTCACAAACCAAAACCAATGATATGAAAATAGCACCTCGAACATTTCCATCTCATACTACTCAAATATACATAATGTTAGGTATCTTTCCTTTTCTTATATAATACCTCTTCTTATAAATCATAGGACATTCCTCTCCGTCTCATTTATTTATTTATTCATCCATTCATTGATATATAACTACTCATTATCTATATCAAAATCTAATCTATATTTTATATTAAATTTTTCATTTTAATCTGAATATTTTAAAAACTTATCTAGATTAAAACAAAAATAAACTCTAATAGAATATTATAAATTTAAATAAATAAAATATTAAAGAAAATAGAACTATATAAAAATAATATATTTTCAATTTGAAAAATAACTTGAAAAATAAAATTTAATAAAAACAAATTAATTTAATTTAATTGAAAGAATATATGATAAATTTATTAATTTGTTTATTTAATTTAATGTATATTTTTTTAATTCTATATTTACATTCTTATAATATTTTTATACCCCTCATTTCATACCATCCTATCCTATCATCCCTCTCCTCCTCCTCCCCCCCTCTCCTCATCATCCACCACTACTAAAAAAATATTCAATCCCAATCCATCCAACCATTCATCCATCTATCCCATCTATCCCTCTCCACACCAAAAATAAACACCTCAACACCACACTCATTCATACACACATACACACCCACATAATCCAACCACATCAAAGAAAAAAACATCTCACCTCCTCTATTATCCCCTCTATCCCATACTATATCACACCATCTATGGGGGTAACAACCCATCCATGCATGAATCCGATGCATGAATCCGATCCGATCCGATCCACTGTGAAGATCATATCATTCATGCTATTATTATTATTATTATTATCATCATCATCATCATCATCATCATCATCATCATCATCATCATCATCATCATTATTAGTATTATTTAAAATACCCATGATAATATGATGATTTCATGACTTCACGATTCAATCAATCAATCCACACAAACAAACCCAACAAAAATCACCTCACAACATCAAATCAAATCATATCAAACAAAAAAAAAAAATCGGAAGAAAAAACAGAGCGCCCGTCATAACGCTATATTTAATAATTCACTAGATAGACAGACAGACATACTAGCCTAGCCTAGTCTAGTTTATCCTATATATCTTTCCTTCCCCTCTTCCTTACTTCCTCCATCCATTCATCTATCTATATACCTATATACCTATCTATATACCTATGATCCATCGATCCCCAACCACCACTTCATCACCATCTAAATACAATTCACCACTCCCTTGACGATCCATCCATCACCTTCCACACAACAGCCTGCCTATGAAACTTCTTCCTTCCTTCCTTCAATGACAGTGACAGTGACTATAACAGTGACAAAGACAAAGAAAAAGAAGAAAAACCATACCGACCAGCAGTTCCAACAACAGTTCCAACAACAGCAACAACAACAACAGCAACCTCACTAACCAAAAACCGCATAAACAGCGAATGAGAACCATCCAAGTCCACCATCCATCCATGCATCCATGCATGCATTGCATGAAAAGCATCGCATGGCATCACTAGACCGACCCAGACGATCCCTCCCCGGACCTCCCAGGACCTCCCAGGACCTCCCCACCTCATATCCAGGAACGAGCATGTATATGTATGTAAAGTTCCCGAACCCCAGAAAATCCTTCCTGCAGGAAAGCGTTACAGTTAGATCCCAGGATAGTCCAGTCCCCCGGGACCAGTTATGTATGTACGACAAAGGAAATAAAGAGGAGAAAACAAGGAAAAACTAAAATAAAATAATTAAGTAGATGATGATGTACAATCCCACCCCCACACCACAAATATGCATACCCGTAAACCCTCCCTCTGCCCGTCCCGCCAAAGCGGTAATACCCAGTTCCCTTTCCCATACCCATATTTTTTTGTTGAAGCTAATCTTCGAAACATGTGAGTTGGACAGTAAATTGTGAGGCATCTGTTGATAAACAGATTCCTCTCCCCCAATTAACGGTCGCCACGTGGCTCGCCTAAAACCCGCATTTGACCCTGAAAAATAAGAAAAAAAACGGTGTATATAATTCGGTCCTGGCATTCAAGTGAATTTGCTACAGGCCACATCCATATGAAAAATTTAATGACAAATGAGATATTGTTTGAGTGCTGTGAAGCAGTATTTTTCCATTGAATCTTCTTCGGAAAACAAAATTTAGTGCAGTCTATAAAAGGGTATTTAGAAGACGAGAAAAAAATGATGAACACCAAGAAGCGCTTCTATAGGCGCCACTATGCTCAGGGGTATGAAGCTGGAAAATAAAAATCAAAAGAAGGTTTCGATATCAACATTAAAACGCCGCAGATGAACTCGCTAGACCCAGCGGTACTGGTAGTAAACTGATGTCACAAAGAACGTTTGAACAAAACTGAACCCTCCCTATTACCCAAACACCATGCAATGTAAATGCCCCGAAACTTTTCCTCCAAAGTATTTTACAAATTTGACGATAGAGGATCGTCTAAAATCGATTTTGTGCTGCGAAAATACTAGCGGCCGCAGACGCTGCCCATTCATTTTCTTCATAGTCGTATGGTGGTGTTGAAGATTGCTTGCCAGGTCCATGGGGTTTTGGAGTTGGTGAAGCATTGTTTAACCCTTGACCAAAAAGTACCGAATTACCATTAGCGGACGGAGAAGGTGTAGGGTATGGATTTAAACCAGTATTACTATGTGATTGTCTTAAGGGTTTTCGATGATCGGTTTGGACTGAATTCCCACGCTTCATCATTGTCGTCTTCGTAGAAATTTGGGCTTCGTCCAGCAATTCGTCCTCCTCATCAGGAGTCTCATATTGTTGAACGCCCGGCAATTGGCTCCTCCTGTTCCTAGTGGGTATGGGCGCCACAGACCTTGGAATATCAGCAGTTGAGCGGGGTGCTTGTTGGTGAGGCACCGAGTGATGTCTCTTCAGAACGCTGCTTGGGTGAATTTGATGAGTCGGTGGTATGGGCGGGGAATTTGTACTTTGTGGGGAATCCAAGTTCTGCTGGACGTTGCGCAGCGCCTTGTCCAATGCCTCGGATGAATCGACTTTCTGCGCAGCAGGGCTAGAAGGTTGATTAACATCCAATACCATCGATGATCGATTGCTCGACCAAGGTCCACATCCAGCCTGTGATTCAAGATCCATTGATTTTGGTGACATGGGAGTTTGAGATTGTCGACCAGAGAACCTTCTCGCACGCTTTCTTAGGTGAGAGAAGAAGCTTTCCTTGTGGCCACTAGGAGGAGATACTAATCCAGAATTTCCACTTAACGCCATTTCTGCTTGTTGTCGATGAATTTCCGCATAATGATTCGTGCTTGAGGCCACTGATAGTTGGCGACCAATTTTCTTCGAACCCTTATCATTTTGTCCAGAATAGAGATCGTTGTATGATGGTGTTCTGCTGCTTGCTTGTGCTGTTGCAGTATCAGAGATTGGCGAGATGGGTTTGATTGTCGGCAAAATCGGCATCGGCGCTGCGTTAGTAGCCCCGCTGGCCCACGTTGACCGCTTAGCGGCAGGCTGACGTGTCTTAGCAATAGGAATCTCACTAATTGTAGGTGTAAGTACCGGTGAAGGCTTAGTTACCAAGCTCTCCTTTTCCTTTGTTTGAATAGTAGCGGTGTTAGAATTATTATCATTTCTGCCGATCAAAGATTTTCTGAACCAAGAGGGTTTTGTTGTCGAGGTTGGTGTTGTCTCGGGGAATTCTTTTGAGCTACGGTAACTTAGATCAGACTGTTTGCGGCCGAGTATCCTCGATGAAGACTTTGGCCTTAATGGATCCACAGCATCAGTGAAAAATTCGTGAGCCATCGCCTGAGTTGATGTTGGTCGACTCTTGGGATCCCACATTAAGCACCACGTGACGAATTTTGCCAAAGATGCCGGCCACTGAGGAGTTTGAAGAATCGTGTCCATGGCATGTGGCGCCATTTTTGGGAATGAAAATCCAAGTTTGCCAGCCAATCTCGTGCCCTCTCTCCAATCACCTCCACCAACTCTCTCGCCTGCTTTGTTGTACCAGTTTCCTGGGCTGCCCATAATTTCACACACTCTCCAAACCTGATCGACTTCGTTTCCTCCAGGGAATAAAGGCTTCAGAGTTGCAATTTCCACTGCCATGGCACCAATCGCCCAGATATCTACTGGAGCCGAATACTCGCCCGCTCTTAATAATACTTCTGGTGCTCTGTACCATCTCGTCGATACGTAGGTTGTGTAAGGTAACTTCGAATGAGTTTCTCGTGCAAGACCGAAATCGGCAATCTTGACGGTGTAAGCTGGCGGTGTGGAAGGAGGGGTAACCATCGCAGAGTATCGTCGGAAAGAGTTTCCTGAATCCTGCGCTGATGTGGAAACGAGAATATTCTCTGGTTTGATATCGCGATGGAAGAAATGATGAGCGTGGATATGCTCGAGTCCTTGCATAATTTGGAACAGAATGCTCTTGACACTAGAAACGTCCAGGCACTTGTGATCACGAGCCTTCATCAATTGATATAAGTTGCCATCCATGTACTCCATAGCAATATGCAACTTTTTGGTGAAAGGGTCGAGGAATATATCCAACGCAGGAACAAGGTGTGGGTGAGGCGGTAACGTCTTCAAGAAGACAACTTCTCGTAGTTCTAGACATGGTTGGAATGATTCGAAGGTTTTCTTCATCGTCTTGATAGCAATCTATAATCGTCCCGTCAGCTTAAGCAATTCCTGTACCAACCTAGCTTAAACTTACAATTGTTCCACGTCGAGCTACGCTAGCTCCCGCCCCACGTACTCGTGCTAGAACAACACTACCAAAGCTACCATCTCCAATATCCTTCAGCACTTCGAACCTGTCTTCCAAAGCTTGTCCTGCTGAAGTTTGAGGGGCCGAAGTCCCTCGGTGGGTTAAATCGTAGGCGACTGTCATGTTTGTAGATCGAGGAGCGATGTATGAATTGTAGTAATGTATATATGAGTTTAAGTAATAGATATGCGTGTTAAATGACCGACAGTGAATACTGTATGAAATTGGCTGTGTTAGCAATCTCCCTCGACACATCCAAAGATTGCATGTCAAGGACGGTGAATATCATGAGATCTCACTTACCAATGATGCCGCGTATATAGCTCTACGAGAGCTTCCTTATGTTAACCAGAGCATTCATGTACGTGAATGTCGATGGTGGTAGGTAACGATCGAAGTGATAATGATATGTTTTGGAAGTCCTCCGCGAAATTGCAAATGAGTGAAAGCAGCGAATTGAAAGATCAAGAGAATGATCAGGTAGAGAGAGATGTAATGGGATGTCTGAGAAAGGGTCCAAGGGTAGTAAAAGAAGCCGTTACCAAGAATCGGTAGTGCGGGTCTTGACCCGCTAGAGCAAGAAGGCTTTCGACGATCAAGTAGAATGGACGGGCAGCTCGTGACGTTTTTGGGTTAGTATTTCAATGATAGGAGAAGTGGTAATAGATCAAGGGCCCTTTGTAGTTTCTTGATGTGCGGCGTGGGGGAGTCGATGGCTTGCTTGTCGTAGGTGGAATTGGTGGATATAGCAAGCGCATGAGAGTCAGTTAAAAGGAAAGCACTGGCATGGGTTGCATGAACTTTGAATTGTCGAAACTACCCAGGCCTTGAACCGTGGAAAGTCCTCAAGGTCTCTCTCGCTTTCTCTAGTTTGGGTTTTATTAAGTTCCGCAAATCCTTCCAGAAGACAATCTTTGGGGCATGAACAGCTCGGGGATGATGGTAATAACCAATTTCGCTAAGATCCACTTTGACATCGAACTTTTAAGTAGTTTCTCCAGGGGTATGTGATTGCCAGAAATGGGTGAGTCTCGAATGGATATTAGATGGTAGGCATTATCATTATTGGTATGATGTGCACCGGCATAATTAATAAGGAATTTGGAGCTTGGAAGGAGTTTGGAAGGAAGAAGAGGTGAGAAACGAAGGGTGGTGTGTGAATAAATTTGTGCAACGAATGGGACGAGGGACCAGTGGGTGGTTCGAACTTCGAAGTACAGTCCTCCGTGGGTATGTATGGAGTGTCTAGCGAAAGTTTAGAATTTTTTTCTCTCTTCTTTTTCCTGCGCGATGCGGTGCGGTGCTGTGCTTGATTCCTTGAAGCTCGATTATGCTGGTTGATGTTTATTTGAGGTACCGGTATGCGTGTGGGTGGGCACTGAGACCGCGAATGGGATGCGACGTTGTGGGACTTGTCTCGAACAACACGCTGTTTAGCTGAATAAGAACACTGTAAATCTCGTAAATCAATAGGAAAGAGTGAAAAAATGCCAGTGCTCTGCTGGTTTTTGGATCCCTGGAAGGTGTCGGCTAAAAAGTTTCGATTGCTTCTTGTGATGCCAACACAGCGACCGAGTAAAGATTGTGGTTATGCTGATTCGATGAGACGTGAATAATTCCAATTGCCCTTGGGACTTGGGTGGTCCGGGGAAGTTGGCCAAGTTACTCGTAATAGGTCGAGTGAGAATAATAATAATAATGAGTAAAATGTCATGTAACTTTGAGTCCCTACGGAACATTGACGGGCTACTATTGCAGAGGGAATGAATGAATTGAAGAGGGGCTTCACTTTAAAGGCGGGGCCCTTCCCAATCAATGAGGTTATATTAAGGAAAGTGAAAAAGGGTCATGAATCAAAATAGTGGATTGAAATGATTGATTTGGATTGGACTCGATTGTTTGGTGTTTAGAGTTTTGTGTGTGGTATTTTTTTTTTCTTCCTGTTGAAGCCAGCAGATATGGACAGATAAAGAGATACCTAGATATGCATAAAAAGATCAAAAGGGAAGAAATTACCCCCCAAGTTGTGCTGAGCTATTATCTCATGATGTACAATTCAGTAGCGACGATGATAAATGTGTACAAAAAGAGGAGATTTTATCTTGGTAATGGTAACTACAGTACAGTTTGGAAATCAATGTAAGGTCGCGATGAAATTTGAGGCTTGGAGGGTGACACGGAGAAGAAAAAAGTTGTGGATGTGACTCTGCGCGGCGCAGTAGTGGTGAGGTGCGAAATGTGAAGTGTGAATTGTGTGAAGTGTGAAGTGTGAATTGTGATGAGCGGTGGGTGATGAATGGTGAAAGTTCTAAAGCTTTCAAGGGTACGGGGTAGCTTAGTGGTTGGTGTGTCAAAGGTGAATTCCGATATGAAAAAGTGATCTTACCCTTCTTTTACCTTTCTCTTACCTTTTCTTACCTTTTCTTACCTTTTCTTACCTTTCTCTCACCTCTCATACCAACCAAAATGAACCATATTCCGTAGAAACTCTAGCTCAAATGCTTCAGTATCAGTCAATCCGTCTTATTAGACTCTTTGTAGTAAAATGTCCATCCATTCTGAAGTCATTCAAATTCAAACCCAGTTCATCTCATATCACAAGACCCGTTCGTTGTAAGATCAACCAAAACCAAACTATCACCATGCCATCAAGGTTTATTGATTGATTGATTGATTGATTGATTCAATGATTGATATGATTGATTTGATTGACTCGATTGATTCATCGATTGATTGATTTGATTGACTTGATTAACTCGATTGCTTCTATTATTCTCACCTCACATTTCCCCAAATTTCCATTTGGTCAATGCATACGGATTAGCTACCCTTGGTACTTGGGCAGATTTCGTACTGGCTAATCCTATATCTGAGATTCCGAGCTCCATTCAAGATACTTCGTACAGCGGGTAATTAATATGTACAGGCGAGAGGGAAAGTGCATCCATTGATCTTTTATTGATTTGGTAGCGATAGATCCTTTACTCAATCGTGCCAGACAGATCCCCGGCTATCATAAGATTCTTACATACTTGACTCGAGTTATGTAGCCTGTTCCCCCCTCCTCTCCATGATAGAATGTTTATTTATTTGTTTATTTATTTATTTCTTCATCCATACCTACCTATCAAGACTCTTCTTTTTGCGGCCTGTAACCTCGTGTTACTTACCATAAATGGTACAGTCTCAATTTAGGATACCCAGCATCTTTAACCTGTTCTTTTGATTTAATGGTAGTGTTCTCAATATCCGGCCCCAAAAAAGAATCATTATTTTTATCACCAGCCATGAAATGCGCCTCGTACTATCATTCCATGTCATGCCACGCTTCGAGAACTGCCGTTACTGCGTTTGATATTCTAGAAATAAACTCACAGAAAAAGATAATAAGCATAGATTTGAGGCTGTGACAGGTCAAGGATAAACTGATAATGATTCTACAGTGGCGGCACTCGAGCACATGTCAAGAGTGGCCACAGACTTGATAAGTAAGTAAGTGGTTGATCGAGATTAGAATATAGGGGAAATGTCGTTAGACCTCGGAGAACGGTGGGAATCTGGGAAAGAAAGTCGGAAGATTTGATGTTAATGCCTGCCCCATTGGTGAACATTGCGTACCCTCATAGATTCTATTGTTACTCCCAATCCACTAATATATCTCACAATTTATTATACGGACTGTTCGTGTTTCGCCGTCCGCTTCTGCCCAAAATGTGTATAAAGTTCAATGTAATCCCATGCCTACTTGAATCCGGTTTCGTCCCATCAATGCAACACCCATCCGAGAGTAGCCTCGTTGTATAATTGAGTGGATAAGATTCAGAGAATCTGAACTTTTTCATACCGCTATGGCCTTGCCAAAAAGAAATCAATCTACTGAAAGACAGGATGATCTAGTGGTGTTTTGTGTTCCCAAGGTTGTGCAGTGCATTACAGTAACCCGATTTACGCAAGCATCCAGCCTAGAAATATCTTGCCTCCCCCCAAATGGTATGATGGAAGCTGACTGCGCATACCATGGATTCATGGGACAAAACATAAGAAAGACTATGTTTATTTTGGTTTGCTGCTGCACTTCTTCACTTTGTGCTTCATGTAAGATTCTTACATTACCTTAGGTATCATTCATCTGAATCTTTCCATATACCCGTCCCAACGCCCACGCGCGCCCCTTTCTTCCCTTCATCATTTCATAAAATTTCGACGCTTTTCCTTCTTCAGGCGTTGACCGTTGACAGTCCATTCTGTCTTGGTTTTACATTTAGCGTACTTTATCCTTGCCAGTTCCTGTGGGTATGGTTCGGGTACCATTACCCACTAAACGTGGTCTTCTGAGTTTGCCATTTTAGCTCTTCCGGCTTCCGCTGTCGACGGTCCCAAAAGCTATTGATGGGCCGGCGCGCCTTTTGGCTCGAAAACTGTTTGAGGAGGTTGGGAGTCGGGAAGTTCAGGTTTTAATGTGTAAGAGCTGTAGAGTTTATTAATCGTCATATTGATCGAATGGGACCCTGAATAATGCCCCTGTCATCATGCTCGAATCAAAGCCTGCAGTTTATCCTGCATGATTTGATTGTGGCGTCGAGACTTTTTCTTTTCAACTTGATCAGAGGTGAAAAAGAATCATGCCATGATGTGACCCTCCATACGAAAAGAAAAAAACAAAAAGCATATGTTGAAGCCATATTAACTTCTATATCATCGCACACCTGGTAATATTTTAGTCTCTTCTTCTTCCGCTGAAGATCCTGATTGACACGTTTCACCCTGTCCATAATCCACAGTATCGGGTCTGATTCGAGGCTGGAAGGATAGGGCAAGTCTAACGGTTCTTTGCATATGCGAGCTTGAAGCGGTGTGATAAAGATGAAAAGTCTGGGGAGATATTGATATTTCCGCACCGCTTCTCCTCTGTTGGACCAGTGATCAAAAGTTTCGGTATTCAATGAAAGCTGACTTTCTTATCAATCTCACTCCGCCTTGTTCAAATTGGAATATTGTGGTTTCATTAAATGGGATTTTGTGCGAGATGAACAACCAGTCAGCACTAGAACCAGCCGATTAGTTTGAGCCTCCAAACATCCGTCATACTTTGCACTCGCGGAGGATTAATAGTATAGCGTAGGTCAAACAAGGGCATTGCACCTGACTGTAAGATAAACTCCGATGACTTCCTCAAAAACTTCCCTACTATGAACAAAATGCTGGGCATATCTCGATGGGAAGTCAACATTTGAGCGGAAGGTCTAATGCGGTAAGAAGTCTTCTCTTCGGCCATGGCGTCTGCTAATATGCACTACGGGAGCTCAGGATGGACTGCAGGTAGCGATGTCTGGCAGCCAAGTGACTTGCAGACCCTGAAATATTATGTTACCCATCGGCGAAAGAGGTGCTCCTAAGGGAGGAACGCTATCGGAACCATATCCTCTTTATGATATCATGATTGGAAACATGTGATCCTTCCTGCAATTTTGTATCCGAGCTATTTATTTGGAGTGTTCCTATACCAAGTCTCAATTTAGTGTACATCAAAATGTCAGTATTTGGCCTACTATTCTGATATTGAGGAGTCATGATGAATGCATATAGTGGTGACACTCAATTCACTTAAGCCGGTAGTCATATCGCATGCAGAATTGAAAAGCAAAAGACATGAGATCCATGCAAGTACTGCAAATATCCGAAGTGGAAAAGGCAGCAGCAAAAAAAACGTAGGATATGATGAACGCATACGAAACATAGCGCTGCAGAATAAAGAATCTTCTTGCATCAAAACATAGCTTGTAGTTAGATTTCATGTGAGTTCTGCTGGCGTGGTGCATGAATCAATACTAGGTACCTGAGCAAATGGTAAACAAACGAAGTGGTGATATTGGGTGAGAATTAAGAATTGGGCTGGTGACTGTTTAAGAAGGTGCAACATTCCCAAAAATGCTCTGATGATTCCTAGGTATTCCAAAATTCATTTCAAAGAGCAGTTCCAGTTGATTTTGATATTCTTTCCTTTCTAGAGGCCCCTCCCTTGTTTATGCATATTCACTCTTGAAGAACATCGGACAGACTGGATGCCTACAAGCTATCGAGCTACAAAAGAGTTTCCGCTGTCTCTGACTCTTCTTCCCAAAACAAACTTCATTCCACACATCACCAGATTTCTTTCTTCTTCTACCAATTTTACTTCTTAATAAGTTCATAATCAACCTTTAACACTCTGGGCAGGCCTCGATCTTTCGGGAATCAAAGGCTTAGGTGATAAGCCAAATTCCCAGATCCATACTTGGCCTTTCGAGTCGATCTTCAATATTTCACCATTGATCCGAGACGTGTTACCTACATTCATACCAACAACCTTTCTTCTGCAGTCAAGTGAGTATTCTTATGTAAAATTTCAATCTCTCGTACGCCCATCTTTGAGCTATCCATATTTCACAAGCTAGTTACCACTCCAAAAGCAGATTGTCTTGTTGGCGCCTTCCATCTATAGCTTACTCCACGCTTCATTCCTTTCGAAGTGAGGAAACGAAATTCTCATGTCAAATCTCAGATGCTAATACTGTTTTCCAAACATAGCAGCGGCCAAACAAATTGAAGTTCAAGCTCAACTACGATACTCTTTCGACACAATTAACAGAATCCCTACAAATATTTCCCTGGTATCTTTTCAGGATGTCGTGGATGAACAACCGTTATAGTCCTGCTGCCGAGTATGTTCTTCAATATGAGTTGTTGGTTCTTTGTGCTGATGAGACTTTGTAGGCGTAATGGCGTAATCCCAGTTGAGTAAGTCCACATCGGTCATATTATATGCCCTGTGCCCAATCCGATCATCAGTCTTATTATTTAAGGCTATATTTATACATAAAAACGAAGAAGACAAGGTACCGTTTCTCGTAGAGCTTACTGATGGTACTGTCTACAGTTTCAAGTTCAAATGTCGTCATTGCAAAATCTTCAAGACGCAAGATTGCTTCTCAAAAAACGAGATTGCTCCTTACAAACATCAACTTTCTCATAATCCGGGTATGAAACCAAATGCAGTACAGCCACTTCTACGATGCCGTGGCTGCAAGGGTGGGCAATTGACTGAGCTTCAATGCGAGGGTCCATGTTCTAAGTATAAGCCCTTGGATCAGTTTAGCAAGGCACAGAGATCTAGGGGAAACAAGGTATATATGTGCAGACTTTTCAAGTGTGAAGCATACGTCTAATAGATATGATGGCTAACATGGAATTGTAGTGGTGTATGGAATGTGTGCAGTGGAAAGAAGGTCATCACCCCGAGGTCGACCTTACACCTGCTCCAGGTACCGAGCCACAGGAGTTCGTCACAACCACTGGTGCATCTGAGCAAACAACAGGCTCTTCTTATGCTGCAAGCATAGCAGTAAGTATCTTATCCATGTCCTTACACTTCCATGGTCTAGAATAGGCTGTTTATTCAGAAGTCAGCATCCGAATATTGAAATATTTACGGTGTACTAATCAGTATTGCATAGTTGTCCCAAAGTGTATCCTCCCTTGCCATTGGCAATCACTCCAATGGCTCACAGCTTACCCCGCATCTACGAGCAATTGCTAGTAGCCGGATCGAGAACCGCTCACAATCATCTATGAGCAACCCATTCGAAGGTGCTCGCACGGCGGATATGCCTGTCGGCTCTGATGCATGGTCGACACGCGATTCTAGACGCCGGGCTGGTCCACCTATTCGATACAATGCATATGATGCCCATGGAGTACGCCACTCTCAAGAGAGATCAATGACATTGACATCACGAGCTACTTCAACTATCGGCCCATCGAGTGTAGCTTCCTTTACCAGCGGTCGTACTTCTCCTTCTGCCTCTGGTAGTCGTCCAGCCGTCACTGCTTCTCTTCCAGCACCATCACCAGTTCCGCAACCGGTCCGTGTGATCACCAACCCATCTACTGGCTGGGCTAAACCTGTAAGTATCTTGAAAGCTTTGCCCCAATCATCTATCATGGTTGTATTCATCAATCGTACTAACATAACTACTGCTTCAGATTGGAAAACGTACACAACAACCAACTAATCTAGGTGCCGTCACCGAGTGGGCTCCCGAATCCAATGAGGTTTACCGTAGGTCCGCCTACGACTCCAGCGACGATGAAATGTAGACCATTGTTGAAAGATTCAAAACCTAACCATTTCCTCTATTGTTCTTCACGGGCATGATGGTTTTCGAGGCTATGGGAATTTTTCACAAGGACTTGATGCATTTTACAATTGAGCTACATTATCGAGACAGACAGACAGATAGACAGCGATTTGCTTTTACAAAAGATAACTTTTCTTCTTCAGATTCATAGTGGCTTTCCTTTTTCTTTACTTCAAATGCTATTATGTTGTTGCTGAGCCTGAGCTTTGCTCGAGCTCCCTTCATAACATGCGGTGCTTTCATAGCTTCAGCTTTGACAGGATATGTTAGTAACTGGCTTTATTCTTTACTTATGGTATTAGATAGTTAACAATAATATCAGCGGTTCATTTTTCAATTATCATACCACTGGTGATATATTTTACTATAAAGTATACTACGTCATTTCATTTTTCCCGGTGAATATAAAGTTCTGGTGCTCTTTAAAGATTTGACTTTGTAGAAGAAGTAGTAGTATAAATAAACACTCAATCAAAGGGAGGTGGGATGTATCTCTACTTATGTATATGTATTGGTGAGATTGTAGATAAGATATCGATATATTCAAAATGAAGATAATATTGTAATTAATAAAAGAATGTAATGTTACGAGGTTTGTGTTACAACGGCTATCTTCTATGCCGCGTCACATGACTAAACCAAGGTAACGTGATTAAAGTCACGTTATGGACCGCTGAGGAACGCTGGCTGTCCAGGACCGCTGCGCGGTCCTGACTAGCCATAGGCATGAAGGTCTATATAATCAAGATGGATTTCCTTTGTATAGAGCTTCGTGCTCAAGATCAATCATTTAGTATATCCTACTATTAGTTACGAATTGCATTTCATTATTGTCATTACTTAAGTCCCTGCTTGACGCCTAGTTATAAACCACCTCGAGAGCCTAGAGCACTTCCACGTGATCTAGACGGCAAACCTCGTAACAAGCCTAGAGCACTTCCACATGATCTAGACGGCAAACCTCGTAACAGTAGAAGGGAGACTTGACTTCTGACTTTTGAAACGTAAATTCCTTGGGGGTGAAACGGTTTGGAGATTATGTATGTACTATTATTATAACCTTATGCTGGGCGTCGCCTTGTTGGTTGGTATTTTGGATGAGGGATTAAGATGAGGATGAGGATGAGGGGCGTTAGATGTTGGGTGCCTTACTCGGTGATGGTGGGGTGAAGGAAGGGTTGGGTTTTAGGTATTAGGTTAGTTGGTATTTTATGGTTATATTGGTGAGAACTTAGAAGTAAGTGGTTTATGGTTATTTGGTTATTTGGTTATTTGGTTATTTGGTTGGTTGGATATGAGTGTAAACTTTGAAGAAGATAAATGAATTATTGTAAATCTTATTGATATTGTAGTGGTTAGGTAGTTTCGAATGAACATGATCTTTATAATTGATGCCCTACAGAATTTCTTTAACCCCTGGTTCCATGTTCGTTAGAGATTGTTAGTGATACAATATATACGCAGTAAGAGTCCTAGTCCGGCCAGTACTTTAGCATCTAGGAATGAGATGATCTATTACTAGTACAATGAACGTTAGATATTAGTGGCTATAAACTTCAGTAATTAAAGGATAAACTAATGCAAAATTGACTTAAATTATGGAGGGCTAAATCGTGAAGGATGGAGATTGGTTTAGACAATTTAGAGTGAAAGAGGGCGATAAACTAGAGGATGCGTTGGTGTGTGGTAGTTAAAGTAGCTTAATATATAGCCTATGTGTTAGAATAAGCTTGGAAACCTGCTCCCGTTGAAAATACTGGGGAGAAGATGTTTAAAGATATTGATCGTCCTGTTGTTAATACATATATTGAGGGGTTTGCTTCGTAAGGAGTACATAAGAATGTAACAAGTTGATGAATGTTGAAACGTAAAGACGATGCGAAGAAAGAGGTGTGAGTGATAGTTTCAGGACCAAAACTCTTTTGTTGCTATCGTGAAATTCTCATCTTGGATGAATCATCATTGGGATATGCGTCATATACAGAAATGTAAAAGATTTTTAGTACTAAAATAATTATCATGTTGATACACAAAACTATGTCATCTTGGAAGATCTTTACTTCTTAATCGTAATGGCAATCATCATATCATACATACCACATTTTGCCCCGGTCTGCTGTTGAATAATATTTGTGAGTTGATGATTTGATGTAAAGCAAGTTAACTTTTGAGGAGTAAAAAACTTTTTTCCGTCTTGCCGTTGCCCAGATACATACAGTACCAGGTATGTTGGAATCATCTCGTGGGACTTTCTTAACGCCAATAAGCCAATGAAGCCATAGACCAGGGTTGATTTTGGTGTATACAGCGGCAGAAGAGTCCTTGCTTGCAGTATCGTATCTCAAACACTCAGTAAAAGTCTTGCTTCTTTTACTTCTTTTTCTCTGCTCTGCACCGAGGAGCGATAAGCTGGCTAAGCTTAACCAGAGACTTTCGACAACACGACACGACACGACACTCTTCGAGATATTTCTGACATTTTCCCTATTGAATAACGCCTTTAGGCATATCGAAACTTCGACATCCCACCAAAGACACACGAC